AATTAAGAAAATAATAACAAAAATAGACACATTCAGCTTACAGTACAGAGCCGGGCACAATACAACAAGTCCTGATGACAACACTTGGCAGCTGCTCGAGTTGGCAACCGCGAGCTTGTCAAGTAAATAAGCAAGATTTGCTACACGTTGGACCAAAATCGACATAATGGTGAAATGATTTTTGAGGGGCTTATTCACCCTCAGCTGATGGCCATTAGCTGAATATTCGCACTACAAACCACAGCATTAACGGTGTGCGTCATTTTGATCTATTTCGATAACAATATGGGAGTGGCGGTGCTATGTTAACAATAAACGAAAGTTTCAATGCGATATTTTTAAATTTTCGTAGTGTGTATTTGTCTATAAAACATTTCCTCTATCATCCCTTTTCGTACTCAGTCAACAAACCCTTATCTGACTTCATTGGTGTGAAAAAATAACTTATTTCACTCACATCCCTTTATTTTCGTTATTTTTATAAAGGATTATCGCTCTTCTGGTATTTTTATGCTGTTAGTTCTATTCTTAAATACGAATAAATATACACATGCAAGTTTTCGTACATTCTTGCACTCGTAAGAACGAGTTACGTCAAAAGTTATCAAAAGCTGGCTGGCATGTGTAATGGTGCTTTGGATTTTGGCGCGATTCCAGTCTTGACCATTATTCATCACGTTGTAGTTAAAGTTGAGAAGGCATGAACAGAAATTTCTGCTCAAAGACTAAGGTCGACCCGAAGAATTAGATCCTTTGAAATTAAAAAGAATCTAATCTTTGTTTTACCCTTTAGGATTGGAAATGATAAATTGAAACGGGCAAGTTTTTTTTATGGTGCAACAATTTTAATATGATGTAGTTCTTTGGTGCTATTGCCAGTTTGTTATGGATTTGTACAGCCAGCGGTTTAACAGCTCGTTCGGTAAATTGAAAAAAATATTGATTTTTTGACGGAACTGTGTAATGTCAGTCATCAATAACGTTATTTTCCAGATGGATACATATGTAAGCTACCGGCTGTCTGAAAAAAACGCCCAAAAACTATAAAAATTGAAGTATGGGAATTCATTGAGTTCGAAACGATTGAAGTACGTAAGAGCTGACTGCACTTGAACTGGAGTAATGTTGAGTTTTCTTCCTTTTTTTTGGTGTGAAATAGGTCTTAGTTGTACATTCTAAATTTACTTTCATCGATCATGATAAAGGAATACAGGCAATTAAATGTGTTCCGGATTAGTGCATGGTGATACTCGAAGCTCGTTATAGCAATAAGTTTGCTTTTGAAAACATTTTACTTTGTCTTGGTCGGTTGCGTCTACGGAACTTCAAAATATTGCGCCCAGCTTTGATGGCGGTTGAAAATACAGAAACCACCGGGGCTTGGGAACGAAGTTTTCATTCGGTTGTGAAAGCGTTATCGCAGAGAGTGGTTAAACTATTCTTAGAAAGTTATTTTGAATTGACAATTGTTAAGAGGTTATCAAGTTAGGTCCAGATTATGGTTTAGACCCCGCGTAAAGTTAAGCGTATTAATTATGTTGCTATGTTGCCAAACAAAATATTTCAGATAATCGTGACGTAAAGTTCGGTTTTTAAACCACGCTTCCTTTGTCGAGTCGGTCGTTACGAAAACCGTGCATTCAAGCTTTTGGACACATTCTCCATGGCTTGGTGTTGCTAAGAGATCATTTTGAAAGAGTACGCTCTATTAGGGAGAAGCGAATTTCGCAATTGAAATTCATTGCAGTACGTTTAGTGTTTCGACTAAAGATTGTGAAAGAGACTTAGTGGATGTTTGGATCAACAAGATTCAAAATCAAAACCTCTCGATATTCCTTGCATCCAATTCGCTAAGTGTCATCGAGTTTTCAACCTGTACGATCATGTTTCTTTCTAAAAACATTGCATTCATTTTGCTGTTTTTGATCATGACGGAAAATATCATCGAGGAAAGCGCGTGTCTCGCTGGTGGTGCTCGAACCACTCGAACTCGACGTCGAAGGCGACGTTGCAGACAGTGCAAGGAAGTAGAACGGTATGGAATTGCTCAAAGAAAACGATCTAAAGTGGCGTCAAGCGTTCATGGGGCTTGGATGCGTAAACTATAAAGTTGCTTTCCCCTCTTCGCGCGAAATTTTGTTAAAGAAGAGCTGCAGTACCTCCATAGCTAAGACAGAAGACGTGTTTATAATGCAATTAATGTACATGTTTTCTTGTTCATATGTTCAATTTTTAAGGATCTCAGAATACTTGCAAGTTTATTTGCAATGTAAGTGTTCTTATACTGAATGTATCTAAGATTTTCGACCTCTCAATGTGAACTGAAAATCCTGACATTTGTTTTTACTGCAAAGCAAATAAGTGGCATGTCAAGAGCATTAGGCAGCATAAATCGATTTTGGAGATTTTATTATTCGGAAATAAATATAACCAACGGAATTGTAATAATGTATTTTAAATTTAAAATTAGATGTTACGATATATTTTTCCCAAGCCTGGGTCTGCTATTAAATACGGGGAATAGATTGAATTTCAATAAACGAGCAACATCTGTCCTTAACATGATTGTTTTGTGTTGTAATGAATGCACGATCTAGTTTAAAGCAACCTGAATAACCATCAAATAATTTTCATGATCACTTTTTACGGTGGCTCTTAGTGATAGTATCTTCTTCATTAAACCACCGCACTTTCAAAATGTGGTTCGTGCAGTTCGTTTGAAACATCGCTACATCATAAATCGTTGTTATAAAACGAGCTTGTTTAATAGAATTGGTTCTCCTGGTCTAATGTCGAAAGGTCACCATCGCGTATCGAGTCAGAGACCGTTGATGAGTAAGACATGAATGATGGAATACTGCCAGGTTTAGCTATACAAATATACTGGGAGCATTCGAACGGAAAAATCGGCGAGACCGCGGATTTAGGAGAAAGAAACATTTAAGAAGGAAGCACAATCAATGAAGACAAATTTGCTAACTTTGTATGACTATCTTACCGTATTTATGTATATATATTAAGACCAGTTCTCAGAGTTACGGTCTGAAAACTGGTCTCAAAAAGCGACTTCGTTGTCAAAGTCGACTGAGCGAGAGACGTTTTTGAGGCCGAGTGATATCAAGTATGTAAATAGTGTATTTATTTTGTTTTTTTATTTGTTGAGTTTGTTGTTAAGTTGATTTTTTTGTTTCTCTGAGAAGCCTTTTGACCGAAAGTGGTGGATGGGAATGTTGAAAAAAGTTTTACCTATTTTGGTAGTGACGCTTAAATGTTTTATTGCTAATTAATTCTTGTTAAAGACCGAGCAAATCGCAATACCCAAGTTCAACAAAGCAAACAAAATTCGCGTTCATTTACGACCACGAATTGTTTCCACCGAATTGCAGCAATTACGTCAATAGAAGAAACGGCGAGACGGGATTTGTCCATAATTGCGCAGATTATGTTAATTAAATAAGTCTGTCAATATCCCCCCACCAGAGATTAGTAGCCGATTAAAGTTTTACGTCTGCTAACTTTTATGATAACCGCATCTCATGAATTTCTTGTGAAGACAGTGCTTCAGTAATGGTCTAATAGGAACATATATTTCGTTTCAATTATGAGAAAAGGCGAAAACAAAAACGAACCGTTAGTTTTAAAACAAAAAACCATAAAGTTAAGGCATTGTCTTCATTTCGGCTGGAACAATCGTAATGACAAGATAAATGCTAAACAAGCGGCTTGCTCTTGCCAGAACTTCGAACGCATTAGTCAAGATTCTTGTGCACAAAACCATTATTACCTTTCGGCCTCCACAAATTTTCACGGGATTTGTGGTTATCGAAATTTCCCAATGGCTTAAAGTTACACAACAAACAGCTTATCATAAAAGATTAGATAAAAACAGTGGCTTAGTTTATATCCTTTTTGCCCGAGCTAATCTTCTTCAATTCGACTGCAACGTATGTTAAATTTAGTCCCTTTTTCATCTGTGTGTTTTCTTATAATCTGCAATTGCCAGAGTTATTGTGCTGTCGACTTAGCGGATGACTTTGTCCATCAAAGCTCCAACGAAGACACCCAAGCAACATTCCGAAGGTGTTCCGATCACCTCACGAAGCTGCATTACCATTTTTCACTCAAGTTGAAGGTTAAACTTCGCGTTGTTAAGAATTGCAGTCTATTTTTGGGTCGTGTTAACGTAGCCCGAGCAACCGTTTTTTAAGGCACGAAAACGTGTCTATCTTTTACTGAATTAGACTCAAGTGCTTTAGCTATAATTCCCATTCAAGTGCCTGTCGCGATAATTCACGAGGCATTTTGCAATGTTGTAGTATTTTAATGATCTACATATGATCTGGAGATAAAAGAAAAAGATAAGGCTTAGTTGGCTTTATTTACATTCCATTTTAATCTAAATATGTCTTAACGGTCTTCATCAATGTTATTTCGACAAAGTCGGCGATGATGATGATCAACTTTATTTTAGCACACTAGTTTCTTTTTCAGCAATACGGCTGGTCCACAAAAGAGGTGTGACATTCAATCATTGAAGACTAACAAATTCAGAATTAACTAATTAAAAAAATATTTGCAAATACAATAAAAAGGAAATGTTTACCAATAAAATGTATAATTTATATAGATACTATACGGAAATAAACTAAAAAGTAAAGTCAAGGGCTGAGGAAGAAAGTTTTTTTGCAAAACGAAACTAACGATAACGCACTTATCACATTATAGTGCAGCTATACCTAATGTAGACAGAACATCCTCCAACCAGTTAACAGCAGTGGCTTAGAGTGTTGACGTATGACACCTGGAAACTTTTATGATTAGTTCGTAAGTTATATGTTTCTACATGTGTAAATTTTTGTCTTTACATGAAGACAGTATATATTTATCGACATGTTGTACTTACTCTTCATAGTTCGTTACAATATGGCGCCATATATAATAATAGAAAAATGTTACGAGTTATCACACTCTATGTCAACTTCGAGAACTTTTAGAACCTGTCACGTGGTCTTGACGTGTAACTTGAATGATGAAGTAATTTTCACTCGATAAATACTCGTGTCTTACCAACATCAGTGGACCGATTTGATGTACCGTAAATCGACTAAAGCTGCCCGTCTGGGTTAAGTTTTTTTTATAAAATCATTTACCACCTGAACCACTACTGCGCTTTCATGTATCTGTGTCCAGTTAAATAATCTTACACAATAAATGTTCATGTAGTTTACCGCTGACAGCAAACCATGCGTGCTTGCGGTTTCAGGTGGCGGCAGACGAGTATTCAAATAACTCAACAACATTGACAAAACAAATAAAATATTTCGTATAAAAAATTTCTATAAAGTATGAAAAGAAGGCAGAAAAAGGAGAATGAAGGTGAACAAGACAAAGTGGTAAGAGTTATTTTTCTTCATGTCAATCGATGTTTCGACATTTGCACAGTGATAAATGTCAGGTGATAAAAGTTTTGAAAGCTGGAACGTGGCACGCTGCTTTGTTGCTAAATGATTTCGTAAATACGACGAGAAATTTTTTAAGCTTTATCTCAAACTAGCAATTGTGCTTACAACGAGCGTTTAACTGCATTACTAGACCACACATAACATGAGTTAGTAAGTTAAACAGCGAAAACGTTCAGCGTCGACTCAGTTTTGATTCCAAAAGCAAGTAATTTTGGTTCAGTCATCGCAACTCAGTCTTGATGTGTTTATTCTTGTATGAGAGAAGCCCTAACATTAAGGAGCATGTGTGGCAAGCAGTTTCTGACTAAGAAAGATAACTCACCTGCTACTGGTAGAAAGCTCGCCAGATTCTAACAATGCTGTTTGTAACATAATTTAAATGTAACATAATGATGTCTTTACAGGTGGAAGAAGAATTTAGCCAAGTCCCTCATGAGAGAAATAGTATGAATGAAAAGGATTTGGTCTTTCATTCTGACATTATGAAGCAAGTAATGAGAGTATTGCTGATTGCACTTGCCTTTGCTACCAGAATGAAGTATCTTGATGTGCCTAAACATGTTGTGTAAGTAAAAACTGGAATTCAACTTTTCGCCAAAAATTCCATCTGCCACTAAAAAGCATCAGTGTTTTTTGGTCCCGGATTCATGAATTTAGCAATGGGCCAGATTTTGATACCTTTATCCAATAAATGTGGTAGATTGCACATGTCACGTCACAGATTTGTGTAAAATAAAATTTTCAAACTTAGGATTTGAGAAAAATTTTTTTATTAATGTGATTGCAATGAAACTTTGGTTTGTAATGGATTATTAACACAGATAAATATTGTATAGATTTGATGAAGTTCATTTTGGCCGCTTCACGACTTACTTTTTGAACAGAACTTTCTTCTTTGACGTAAATCCTCCATTTCCAAAGCTGGTTTTTGCCTATGCAGGTATAAGTACTCAAACATGGTGCATTTCTTGTATGTATTTTGAAATCATCAGAAATTAATGAATAACTTAACATCATGAATGTATTTGTAAGACAACTTGTTTCAGTGAACTGAGATTTGTTCTTCAAAATGCAAGAAAGCAGTATTTGGTGCTGTCATGCATTTTGAACTTAGCTGACTCATGTCTCCAAAATTGTTAAGGTGAAAGGGAGGTGGAGTGATAGGAAAGAGGAAGATGAAAGGGAGGTGATTGAAGATAAGGAGGCAATTGGGAAGAGTGGGATAAGAGAGTGACTGGGAAGAGGGGGATAAGGGGCAATAGGGAAGAGTGGGACTGGGGGGTGACTGTGGAGAGGGGGATAAGGAGGGAGTAATTGGGAAGAGACTAGGGTGCTACACTTTTGGACAAATTTAGAATTCTGATTTCATCTCTTCATCTTCCAAATGTAGAAGACATGAAGAAGGAACAGGAATCAAAGTGTTTCTTTGTGTCACTTATCAGAATTTTGAACTATGTAATAATCATTCATACTGAAAAGGAGGGCAAGTTGCCCTCTCCTTCAAACAACTAGTTTTCATTTGTACGGTTAAAAAATAACTTTAAGTATATAATGTAAGAGCTCCTCCCTGCCAGAACTATTCGTTGTAATGATCGTAAATCTTTGAGAGATAGGCGTGCAACATGCGAAATTCTGTTTTAAGTTTTTGCAACGAAAATATCTGAAATACAACTATAAGCAAGAATCTTTTAAAACATCAACTGATCATAAATGGATTATCGCTCTAGCGCATTTTGATAAAATGTAAACAAACAATTTTTCAAAGATAGAGATCAGCCCCGTCGTCTTTTTCGGCGTTTCTTGTGCATTTTATTCAAATTGCATTTGAAAGCATACCAACTACATTTTCTGTTGAGAAGTCATAATGAAACTGGCGACGATCAGTGTGATATATTTTTACGATGTTTTTGTAGGATTTTTAACTGGATTGAACAGCTCGTTCATGTTCTCTGGAATTGGGCAAGGTACGCTTTGAGCATTATGAAAATTTCCGACAATGTGCAATGGACGATAATTATGCGATCACCAATATCTGACTTTTGTTTGAATATAGATCTTGGGGAGATCATATTTCATGTTTGGTGTCTGCGTCTTATTCCCGCCACATTCTCTACTCTCGTAATCCCTTGTATCTACGAGGTATCACCGACAAATGTTGACTTTATTTAGCTTAATCAAATGATCGTGGATTTGAGATTTCAAATATCTCATCCCTTGTACTTTTAGTATGTACAGCAAAGCTAAAGCATGCACTCAAAAATTTGCCCAGGCGCGATGTTCTTATTTTTTTCTCCGATTTCACGCCCAAAATCTTCTAAGTTTGTGAAATTGTGAGTTTGGTTTTTCAAGAGTCTCAATATTCCCCGAGAGGAAGTCGAGGTAACAAGGGCGGCGGAACTTTGATAATTGGGGGGAGGGGTACATTTATATATTCATATGAAATAATCCGTAAATACAATTGATTTCAATAGAAACTAATAAAGTAAAACATACATATGTGAATAATACCCCCAATTATCAATATTCCGCCGCTCTCGTGTAAACATTGCTTGAGACTCGAGGGAAAACAAAATTCACTATTTCCCGAGTGAGCGTATATTAAGTATTACTTACGAACTTTCAAAGTATTTGACTGACATACTGCAACCACTTACAAACAAATCAAAACACAAGCTACAATCTACTGAAACTTTCATTAAAAAACTGTGCACTATACAAATACCTGACAACTATATACTAGTGTCTTTTGATGTGAAATCACTATTCACCAGTATTCCACTTAATCTGGCACTTACTTGTACAAAAACCCTCATTACAAACACCACGGACGTACTGCCATTACCGACAGAAGACATTATGGAGCTACTGGAGCTCTGCATCACCTCGACTTACTTCCAATACAAAGGTACACACTACAAACAATTACATGGGACAGCAATGGGCTCACCCGTTTCTGTTGTAGTTGCTAAATTGTAATGCAATCTATAGAGGAACGGGCGCTCACGACTTACAAACATGCACTACCTTTTTGGTTTCGCTACGTAGATGACACAATCACGGCACTACATGCAGACGACATTGATGACTTTTATACACACATCAACAAACAGAACAGCCACATACAATTTACCAAAGATGTCGAAGAAAACGGAACTCTTCCTTTTCTCGACTGTTTGGTAAAACATGACAATCAAAAACTACGAACAACAGTTTATCGCAAGCCAACACATACTGACCGACTACTAGAACAATCATCTTACAACCCTACATCACACAAAGCCACCACAATCAGAACATTAACAAGACGTGCACAAATCATATGTGATTCACCGGACGCTCTACAAAACGAAAACAACTATCTCAAACGTGTTTTTGACAAAAACAACTATAACTCTGACTTCATCAAACGCAACACTTACAAACCCAACGAACCCAACGAAACGAACAACTCAGTGACAACAGCAACGATACCTTACATCAAAGGTACGTCTGAGACTATCTCGCGTATCTTACGACCATACAACATACGTGTCGCCCATAAACCAATCACAACGTTACGACAAGTACTAACGAACATAAAGGACAAAGAACAACCCAACGAACGACAAGGTGCAGTTTACAAAATAAACTGCTCCGACTGCCACGCCTCCTATATCGGGGAAACTGGCAGGAACTTAAACATAAGACTTACTGAACACAAACGAGCTACTAAGAAACAACACAAAACTAATCACATTGCCGAACATCACCGAATCACAAAGCACAACATTGACTGGGACTCGGCAAAATACATTACTTACAGTACTGACTATAGACAACGGCTTACATTAGAAAGTTGGTATACCAACTTGGAACAAACCCCCCTGAACAGATCACAGCTATTACCGGCACCTTACAAACGACTTATTCACAATACAAACAAACGATCAACTAAAAACATTACACTTCACACTAATTCACAATGAAAATACACAATTGACACCCACACATTACAACTAAAAACATCACACCTAAATCACACATCACAACTAAAAATAAAATATTTCACTTCACACTAATCCACAATGACAATACACATTTTCTGCACACACAATACAATGACGTAAGAATCAGATAACAAATACGGCTAACCTGACGTTTACTCCTCATTTGACTCTGAAGATGACTACCGCTAAGGTTGTCGAAACGTCAGTCAACAACAACAAAAACAGTCCTTCTCAGGACTTTATGAACCTGGACGATCATCATTTACAAACATGTATATTAAGTGTTTTGTTATACAAGTAATTTGCATAGGGGACATTTTTTGGTACAGCCTGTAAAGGAACAAAGGTCGTAGATTTCTACAGCTTTTCAATAACATCGACGTTTTTCGGGAAAGATTCGTCCGGCCAAATTTTGTTGCGAAATTAATGCTAACGGGGACCACAGCATTTTTGGTCGACTTCCGGGTGTTTTCTGAATCTATTTTTTTCCTATTAATAGTTGAATTTCGTCCCTTAATATGCTCAAGAAATGTTTCTACGTTTGAACTACGAATGAACCAATCACATTCAACGGACACAGCGCCTGTATAACAAAAAATTTTAGCTACCATATTGTGCCTATATGATATCACACAAGATTAAGCTTAGGATTAGTTTTAAGATTAATTTTTGGATTAGTATAGCTCAATATAAAAATCTGACTTATTGAATTTTGGGTTCATACAATATGCACAGTTTTCTAAGATGTTAAAAGAAGGTAACAACTCTTGCATTTTATGGCTTTATGAACGTTGATGTTCGGCAGTTTAGTTAGGTTAGTCACGATTACCCTTTACATTGTTTTGTCAGCCTCAAATTTTCTTATTTTGTTCTGAATTTTTGAAAAAATTCAGCCCCGATGTTCCTGAAAACTCGGTTTTATAATAAAAAAGTGCATTTGGATTAAACGTTTCTCGTCCGGTTAGCAATTTTGGTTTGGCGTTAACGGCATTTCAAAAAAATTTGAATTTAGTTCATTTTGGAGTACATTCCAATTAAGAAATCTTCGTGTGAAAATCACCAAATGAAGACATCGCTCTGGCGTATATTAGAACGAAGGATTCCTTGTAAATGAAACCAAATCATATCAAGCGTGATAGAAACTTCCCATTGAAGTTTGCACGGATTCAACAAGGTCGCAGTTTGTCTTTTTCTATATAATTGTGAAACTGCTCTACTAGTTTCCTTAGCACGCACAAAAGTTACAACACTAGGCTATGCTGGATATCTTTTTATGTAAAATTTAAATTGTGCATTGTACTTTATGCTTAAGGAGTTCAAATATAATCTATTGTTTTGTTTTAGGGAGACAATAAGTAAATATCAGTCGATTTCGGCGTCGATGTACAACCTGCTTACTGTCAGCTTACTTGAAAACCTCTTCGTAACACCTCTATAAACTTCTATTGTTTTTGTGTTATTTTTAAACAGATCTTGCTTGAACTTGGCTGCTCCGTATGGTTGGCATCTCTTGGATCTGTTTTGGCTATTTTTGGTAAGAATCTTTCTTTTATCAATGTCATCACATTTTTTGGTGCACGGTCCGGATCCAAAAGCCAAGTGAAAGAAACAATAAATGTATCAGGTTCCATGTATCATTTTTGGTGTTTTCTTATAGATTTCAGAGCTGTGTTTCGTATTAATGTTAGAGTTAGCGTTTTAGTGACGAAGCCAGCTCGGATTTTTATTCCTATAATGCAAATTTTCCGTAAAATTATAAAAAAGTTAAATTAATTCTTTTTTTCCCCGTGAAGGAATACATAAATATTTTCGTTTTAGGAAAAATGAGGTCTTTTGTCTCTCCCGACAGTCGGTTGCTTTGAGAATAAATCCGGATTTTTTTGTCACGTCTGCAACATAGATTTAAATGTATATAATTAAGCTGATTACAAATACAAAAGCATTGCCGCTCAAACTTTACTCAATTGGCAAATTAAACTGCCCAGTGGCAATTGGCCTAGCCAGCGTGACCAAACTTGCAGACGAGTTTATAATGTGTATGCCGGCATTTTAATTCCCTATAAGAACAATAGAAAACAACGCGATTATGGAATTACACGGGATTAAGTGGTCTTAATCGTCACGGGGAGAAAGACCATTGCCAAAATGTTTTTGCTTAAGAAAATTTACCTTTTAGCGTTGCATTTGACAGAATTTACAGATCCATGTTCTTGAGCTGAATTTTGAACGTGTTTTTTTTTGTTTCAGATAACATGCTCGTCATTCAAGGACGTTTCATACTTCTTGACTCATTCTTGCACTTTTTTACCTTGTTCGCAATCATGGCGTATTTGAAGTTTAGAAAGAAACGATCAAGGTGTGTTTTTAAGTCATGAATGTTGAAAGATCGATGATTGGGCGAGGGGCGGGGGGATTCATACATGCACGATATGCCGTATGAAGTTCCTTTGAAATCCATTGTTTTGTACAGATTACAACATGATTATGTGAGTATGTACCAATGACTTAGAACCCAATCTACTAGATATCCGACTCCGCCAAAGTTCTACAGTTACGAGTGAGGCAAGCCGCTATCTTGAAAGGTGGCAAAACTGACTATATTTACCATTAATATCTGCTTTTCTTGAGTTGATATAAAGTTGCAAAGTTAAGAGTCTAGGTTTAATTTTTAAAATGTTTGATACGATTGGGTTTGTAAACGTTCTTTTAGTTCATTTTTTAGTCTGAGTTTTGTATTTTGCCATCTTTCAAGATGGCGTCCTTGCCTTTCTTTGACACGGCAGTTAGACATTTAGAGGACTGGGTTCTACGTCATTAATATGTACCCCCCATTTTAGATCTTCCTACGACTTTGCTTTTAATCATCATCTCATTTCATCATACGGACATGCATTAATGATACAAACGTCATTTACTGTTTTTTCAAGAACAGTTTCTCTATTTCGGGGAATTTCGTAATCAATGAATAATTGAAGCATTTAAGGCGGTCTCATTATTCCAACTGCTGAGTGTGATAGTCCAGTCTTTCATCGTTGCATGTATGCGCGTACCAGAAAAGTGAGCAGTTGCTCAATGGAAATTATAAGTTTATTTATTAAATTAGGAAAGAGGATTGTTTTACAACGTACGAGGCACTTTCTAAGACGTCAACAAGAAATATAATTTGCCTATATAGTTGTACATCTATGCTCCTCTGTATCCCCGCCTTTCTCTTATCTTTAGCCTATAGCATAGGGTGCTCGTAAGATGTATCATTTACCCATAGTGGTACATCTATGTTACTTAGTATCCCAATCTTTGTCTTGTCATTGGCCAGTAGCGTAAGTATTTCCGTGAACTGTACCATTGACCATTTTGACCAAAAAGGCTCTTGTTTATTCATGGACAAATTAAATGTCGTACTGTGTTGTCTGGAAAATGTTCAAGGAAAGCTTTGCTGAGCGGAGCAAGTCAAAAATGTGTGTAACTGCAGGCCTGGATAAAACGTCCTTACAGAAAATTTCAAAAACGGAAATTTTTTGAGAAAATAAAACGTCCTGCGAAAAGGTTTCATTAATAACAAGCGTTCTTCGCTCATCGCAGCGTGTTGTGGTTGCTTCTAAATTCCTTAATGGTATGACTTTCTTTACGGAATACAGATTATAATGTAATCTGACTTATGTTCTAATGCACTTGTATTGTAAATGTAGTATTTCCTTGCAAGATACTAGCATATTTCCTGCGAGTAATTTTGTGAAAAATTTCCAGGCCGCCTGTAAAACTGGTACAATTTTTTAACACAAGCTGAACTGTAATTTTAACTGGAACGTTGAGTTTTATATTTTTTGACATTAATGCGATGATGTGAAGCTCTTCTAACATTTAATTCGACTCTTCCAGGCCTTTCTCGCTGCTTTGGTGGTTTTGGCTTGTCTGCATTGGTCTCGGTCTTGCGGGTGCTGTAAGGTAATGTTTTACACTCGTCAATACATGCAAAGCCATGCCGATACGAACTTTTGTACGATCGTCTTGTACTTTTCATTGTCACTTGTTGGTTTATCACGTACTTCAAGTTTGCAGTAGCTAGAGTATCACGTACTTCAAGTTTGCAGTAGCTAGAGTATCACGTACTTCAAGTTTGCAGTAGCTAGAGTATCAAGTACTTCAAGTTTGCAGTAGCTAGAGTATCAAGTACTTCAAGTTCTCAGCAGCTAGAGTATCACGTATTTCAAGTTTGCAGTAGCTAGAGTATCAAGTACTTCAAGTTTGCAGTAGCTAGAGTATCATGTACTTCAAGTTTGCAGTAGCTAGAGTATCAAGTACTTCAAGTTCTCAGCAGCTAGAGTATCACGTACTTCCAGTTTTCTGTAGTTAAATTGTCATGATGATACTTCAAGTTTTCTGTAGTTACATTATCACGTACTTCCAGGCAGTCCTGTCTATTATTCGAGTTATGAGAATGATGATTTTCCTTATAGCACCAGATACTCGGGCATTTTTGTCGTTGCATTGGTTGGCTTAATGATGGGCTATGAAATGTGGAATATGATAGAAGATCTGAATATTTCACCAGTAAGAGCAATCAAACTTTGCTTGTTTACAACTTTTTTGTCCCTCAGTTCTCAACGATTGATGCCTTAACGATTGATGCGAGTTGAAAATCTTTGCTTTAAACTGTTTGCAAATGAAAAAACTTCGGAGACGTTTGTGGGAACTCTTAAGCCGGTCGACTATCGGTCTCGGGTTTGCACTGATCTGTGCTCGAGTTCTCCCAAAAGGTCTCCTCGATTTGCAAAAGCCCGTGCGAACACTGTAAACATCTGTTATTTTTTTATTATAACATGTTAAATACGTCTATTTCAGTTTAAATTAGAATTAGTAATGGTTGTAGTATTTCACGTATGTTTCATTGCTTTGCCATATTAAAGTTTGCAGAGTGTGACATTTGTAAAAAACTGTATTACAAAACTATAAATGCATATTTTTTCTGATAAAATTACTCGAAAACGTTATAAATATCCTATACTTTGTGCTATTACTTGCTCTTGAAGCTATAAGAATAACAATACAATTGCTGTTTGAATCGACACACGTGACGGCAAAATCGGTCATATTAAATATGTACGTCTACCTATAGAATAATGATTTTTTGCCGATATCCTTTAACGCTGTTTTTTGTAACTGTACATATCAATGTAATGTGTTTTTTCTGTGATTTTTTCAGAGCTTTTGGACAATACATTTTCTATGTCGAGGATTTGGCGTTTTTCTTCTTCCATTATTATTGTACTTCGTGCAGTTTTATGTTCTGTTGAGCTTGTTGACGAACAGTGGTCCACAAGATGATATGATGTCCAGTGCTTTCCAGGCAAGCCTCAAGGTATGCCGGTATAGATATGCATGATATGATGTCCAGTGCTTATCTAGCAAGCCTCAAGTATACCGGTATAGATATGCATGATATGATGTCCAGTGCTTTCCAAGCAAGCCTCAAGGTATGCCGGTATAGATATGCATGATATGATGTCCAGTGCTTATCTAGCAAGCCTCAAGTATACCGGTATAGATATGCATGATATGATGTCCAGTGCTTTCCAAGCAAGCCTCGAGGTATGTCGGTATAGATATGCATGATATGATGTCCAGTGCTTTCCAAGCAAGTCTCGAGGTATGTCGGTATAGATATGCATGATATGATGTCCAGTGCTTTCCAAGCAAGTCTCGAGGTATGTCGGTATAGATATGCATGATATGATGTCCAGTGCTTTCCAAGCAAGCCTCGAGGTATGTCGGTATAGATATGCATGATATGATGTCCAGTGCTTTCCAAGCAAGCCTCGAGGTATGTCGGTATAGATATGCATGATATGATGTCCAGTGCTTTCCAAGCAAGTCTCGAGGTATGTCGGTATAGATATGCATGATGTGATGTCCAGTGCTTATATAGCAAGCCTCAAGGTATGCCGGTATAGATATGCATGATATGATGTCAAGTGCTTTCCAAGCAAGCCTCGAGTTATGCCGGTATAGATATGCATGATATGATGTCCAGTGCTTTCCAAGCAAGCCTCGAGGTATGTCGGTATAGATATGCATGATATGATGTCCAGTGCTTTCCAAGCAAGTCTCGAGGTATGTCGGTATAGATATGCATGATATGATGTCCAGTGCTTTCCAAGCAAGCCTCAAGGTATGCTGGTATGGATGTGCTCTTTTGAACATGTTCACCAGTTGTTTGCGGTGCTTACTGCATGTGACGGACGACATTCATTATAAAAGTTTACTGGATTTAACAAAAAGTCTGACGTGTTGCGGCTACAAGTGAGTAACGACCGAAATCTCGTCCGAACTAGAGCATCTCCCCCCTGGAAAACCATCGTGGATCCGTATCTGTCAGACACAGATCTGTTGTGCGTACACCCTTACCCCGTTTGTGGTCAAGACAACACGAATAATCATTCCTGCTCCGCCAGATTTTCAGTGCAACTATTTTCCATTTCTTTCATTCATTGTTTTCATAGTGAATGAAACCAAAAATATTTGCATAACAGGAGTAAAAATTCGAGTTCGAAACTGTAGTAGTCCAGTAAAGGTGCACTACCGCACTGTCATCATCCCTGTTACCAAAACAAGCCCAGGCCCGCACGCACCCCACCCATCCCTGTAATATCCTTCCAGTTCACAATGAAAGAATTAAAATACGTCTCTATCATCTAGGGAGGATTGTCGACCATAACAAAAGGACAAGCTCCAGGTAACGTTCCATTTTTCCGCTTTGTATTTTAATTGGCATATTTTCACGCAAATACCTTTATAAGCTTCAACAATTCCAGGCTTATGTGACCAGCAAGATACTCGTACATAAACTACTATTAAAACGACGACCGGTATACAGATAAGTCTTTATTTCAATGCAATGCGTCAAACGTACGGTTCTAAACGACAGAGTATAGATATTAACATAACCGACAAGGAGGCCTAAAGCCGTAATCATCGTTACCTCGTAATTTGGCCACTAAATATAAACATCCATGTACAAAAAATACACCACTATACATGAATTGTGCTCAATCTCAAAAGACCCCAAGAACCATGCTTTTATACGGGTCCCTTTTTGTTTATAATAATTAGCATAATAATTAGCATAACCTAAGCTCTATGCATCTCGATCCTACATACCAGCCCCGAACGACCTACTATACGTCGTTCAATAATTCAAAAAGGATCGAGAGCTACAATACAAATGTTTTCAATGTTAACTTGCGCAAGTTTTAAACAATGTGTCCACCAATCTTGTCGAATAACCAAACATAAACCAATAGATACCGTCGTTTAACGTAAACAAAATAATAATAACAGTTAAGTGACAACAACAATAACGTTCGTTTTCTGAAGAATTTCTCGCTTTACTTCGCAGTCTCCAATAGGCACAACTTCCTGACATCTCGACGATAACGACTTTGATTCGCCGTGCGGATCTCTACTTGCCGAACATGTCCGTTGCTATCGGGAAATGTTTCTTCAACTATCGCTAGAGGCCATTCACCTCTGGGAGTATCTTCCATCACCATCAAAACGACATCACCTTTGATTAAGTTTCGTTTTGGGTGTAGCCATTTCTGTCGTTCTTGCAAACTTGGCAGGTATTCTTTAACCACCTTGCCCAAAATTGGTCAGCTAACTTCTGCGCTCGTTTCCATATTTCTCGGGGGTTATTTGCCGTAGGTGAAGAACTTGCACTTGTGCTTATGTTTCGATAACGCAGGAGTAGAGTGTTTGGTGTAAGAGTTGATAAATCTCGAGGGTCATCACACTGCCGTACAAGAGGCCGATCATTCACTATTTTCTCGACTTCGCACATTACTGTAAGGAGCGTTTCATCATCAACAACTCGGTCTCCTATTATAACACGCATTTGCTTCCTGATTGTTCTGATCATGCGCTCCCAAACTCCCCCGCTATGGCTTGCTTTCGGAGCAGAGAAATGCCATTGAATTCCCTTTCTCTTAGACGATCTAATATTCTAGCTTGATTCCAATTTTGCAACATTTGCTTAACTTCAGATTCCGCTCCTCTAAAATTCGTCCCGTTGTCACTGAACAACTCATTCGGCGGTCCGCGTCGACTGACGAACCTACATACGGCTTGAATGAAGGAATCTGTCGATAGGTCATGTGCAATCTCAATGTGTATGGCCCTTATGGCTAAGCAAGTGAATACACAGCCATATCGTTTTTCAGTTCCTCTTTTATATTTGACTTTAAGAGGTCCAAAATAATCGACTCCCACAGATGAAAACGGGTACTCACCAGATTTCACACGAGCTTTTGGCAGTGGGGCCATTATCTGCTTCCCTGGAGACTGGTTTCGGCGACGACACGGAACACAATTATTGACTATACTCTTCACAGTGCTAGGTCCCTTTATTATCCAGAAGCGTTGCCGTATTGCTGCTAGAGTTTGACTGGTTCCAGCGTGACCTTCCTTTGCATGGTAATACCGGACAATGAGCTTTGTAACGTGATGACTGGAATCAAGAATTGCGGGATGTTTAGATTCTTCCGGCAGCGATGATTTATCCAAACGTCCACCAACTCTCACAATTCCTCCGGCGATGACTGGACATAGTTTAGCGTATCTCTCTCATAGTTTTCTCGTTGATAGATGAACTTCGTTGGGTAAGTTTAATTATTTCCTGGGTTGCCGATTCAATCTCTTTTACCTTTAGAGGACCACGTTGTACTTCTAATCCTGGACCGTTTGGATAACGGCTTAAGATGTACTGTTTGAATCTTAGCAGCCATGCAACCGACTTCTGCAATCTGTACCATTCGGATGTTCGATGGATAAGTTGTATTAGCGAATCAGGGGGTGCATCCTTTGAGTTGATGACGGCACCAACTCTTGCTTTAGGTTTCTTTACTTCCACATCTGTGTCTTCTACGTCTGGTATGTCATCTAGCTGCGTTGGCCATAATTTGGGATCTTTCCAAAGGAAATCGGGTCCGTTCAACCAAAACTGCAAGTCCCGTTGGTCTTGGCCTGTTGCGCGACCAAGACTTATACCTCTTGATGCAAGGTCGGCTGGGTTGAGCTTGGTTGGCACATGTCTCCATTGATTCGGAGTAGAAGCATCGTGAATAACTTGTAATCGATTCGCTACAAAGGTTTGAAACCTTTTGTTCTCGCTCTTAATGTAACGCAGCACTATCATTGAATCGCTCCAGAAAACAATTTGACTTATTGACAGATCCAACTCATCACAAATTTGTTTATTCAGCTTCACGGCCAATGTTGCAGCGGTTAGTTCCAATCTGGGTACCGTGACTGTTTTAAGAGGTGCAACTCTTGATTTGCCCATAACTAAGGTACAATGAATCCTTCCTTGGGTATCTTCCAGCCGAAGGTACGTTGCTACCCCATATCCTTCAGTCGATGCGTCAGCAAAATAGTGGAGTTCCGCATTCCTTGTCTTGTTAAATTCGTGCGGTTTATAGCATCGAGGTATTTCTAATTTCACAAGGGAATGGAATTCGTTTTGCCAATCATGCCATATTTCGCTTGTCTCGATTGGGAGATCTTCGTCCCAGCCGTGATTTACTCGACACAGGTTTTGCATTATGCGTTTGGCTGGTAAAACGACAGGAGCGACTAGACCAAGGGGATCGTAGACCGAAGCTATGAACGATAGAATCCCTCTTCTTGACTCTGCTTTCAATTTGCTTCCCGGAATCCCAACGTGTCCCTTTCCGTATTCCACTGAACGCCCAATGCTTTCTCCATCGGCAACTTCTCCAACTGAAGGCTGACGCATGGCGCTCTTTCTTTGTTAGGTACGTGAGATAAGACTTCTCGATCATTTGACACCCACTTTGTGAGATGGAATCCACCGCGAGACAGCAAAACTGGTAGTTCGTCTACCAACTTCATTGCTTCTTTCCTTTCTGGTAAAGACTTGAGACAGTCATCTACATAAAAGTTACGATCAACTGTGTCGACAACTTGTTTGCTGAATTCTTCCCGATTATCTGAAGCTGTTCTTTTAACGCGTAAGAACAACAACTTGGGGAAGAGGTTGCTCCGAATAAATGAACAGTCATTTGATGCTCTACTGGTTCTTTGGATAGATCTCCTCTGGCCACCATAGAAATCTCAGTGCATTACAGTCTTCTGGCTTAACCTTCACCTGATGGAACATCTTCTCAATATCTGCCATTACCGCTATCTTTTCCTGCCTGAACCGCAACAATACACCAACTAATGAATTGGTATAATCTGGTCCTTGAAGAAGCTGATTATTTAGGGATGCGTTGTGGAACTTCGCAGCACAGTCAAAAACGATTCTTGTCTTTTCTGGTTTTTGCGGGTGTGTCACAGGGTGATGAGGCAGATACCAAACCAGTTTTTTGAGTGACTCGTCCTGTGTATTTTGTTTATCCACTTGAACTACTTTAGCGTGCCCTTTTGAGATGTATTCCTTCATCGTTGCCTTATAATTTGCGTGAAGTATGGGGTCCCTCTCAAGTCGTTTCTTCAAATAAGCAAGTCTCCTTTCAGCCATAGACTTATTGTACGGGAGGAGTGGGTCATCGTATTTCCAAGGAAGACCAATTTCATATTGATGATTTTCTAGCTTGACAGTTCTATCCATTATTGCCTTTGCGCGACGATCCTCGACCGACAGACATTCTTTAACGTCAGCAGCCGACTCGCTAAACTCTGAATTGTAGAGATTTTGCAATTGCTGACGAATGGAACTCATACCATCTTCCCTTTCCATACACCCAAGAGCTTGATCAACATGAATGAAGTTCATCTGAGCTTCTTGATAAGGTTTTCCCTTCAGAGGTCCCATCACCGTCCAACCGAGGATTGTCCGTATTGCGTAGGGTTGATTTCTTTTCCCAGAACGCACTTCAAGGGGGGCAAAGAGCTTCGGGAACGTCACTTCCAATAAGGATAGTGACTTTCTTATCCACTAAATCGGTTAGATTAACGCCTTTAAGGTGAGACCACCCTTTTTACATCAGTGTTCGTGGGAATACTTTCTAGAGCAACAGGAAGAGTGTTGGTCGTCCAAACTTTATCTAGTCTGACACCTTTGCCCGTGGATACTCCAACCACATCGAGAGATAACTGTTGACCCTTACTTTTGTGGCTGCCTGAAACAGTCGCTAACGTGAATTCGATGGGTGAGCAATCGGCTCCAAGATCTTCAGCTAAACTGGTTAAGCACATGGTTGTGTTGGAGCCACTGTCTAAGAACGCATAAGTTTCTATCACACGACTACCATAGGGTGCGCTGACCTTAACTGGAATAACTTGCAAACCTATACGACAACTGCTATATGATGAATTTGTCGCGCCAACTCCAGACGTTGGGAGTGCTTTGGATTGGCTGTCGCTTTCAGATGGTTCAGGATTTGGATTACTCCTTTCACTTGATTTAGAATCCTTAGCCTTTATTTCGGATGAGTGTAACAAAGGATGGTGCCTTCTCTGACAACCTTCAACACCGCATATGCGGGCACCTCTGCAGTCTTTCACGAAATGTCCTGGGCTCAAGCAAGCATGACAAACTTTGTGCGTCTTTACTAGGTCTTGTCGTTGCTGAAGATTTTGAGCCCTGAACTTGTGACAGCGTTCAAGATGGTGTGTGCCTTTGCATAGTACGCAGGATAAATTTCTTCCCTTTGATTCACTACTGTCAAATATTCTCTGGCTGTGAGTTGCTAAGTTTGTGCTATTCCCACTAAACAAGAAGGATTTCTTCTTCAATCTGTCAGTTCCATCCTTTCGGGTTTCATTTTTCGAGGTAATCATTTGACCAAAGTACGTACTAGCCACGGCTGCGCGGGATTGTATGAATTCAGTTAAATGAGAGAAATCTGGTGTGATGTGATTGTCGTACATATGGCTTGCTTTATCAGCCCATTTTGACTTGAGATGCATTGGAAGGCGGCTAACTACCCTTCCCAGAGTGTCCATCGAATTGATACTTGCCCGATTTCCTAACTGAATAGAACCAAGGAGACACGTTTCCATATCTCTTGCTAGCTGCGACAATTTCTCGGCTTCGTTTACTCTAATTGGCGGTCCATTCAAGACTTTCTCAAGGAATGCTTGGGTTACGATGTGATTTCGACCAAAGTTTTTTCTCAGGATTTCCTTAGCACGCTTGTATCCTTGATCCGGAGGCATAATGATGCAATGCTCTATCGCTTGTCTTGCTGTTCCTTTACAATACTGAATAAGGTAATTCAGTCGATCTGCATCATTACTTTCTTTACTCTCGACATTCACTTCAAAATTCTTCATGAACAACGGAAAGTTGCGAGGTTCGCCATCAAAACTCATGTATTCCCTTTGAGGCATTCTTAATCCCTTCACTACTTCGTCCATCGTAATCTGCTGCTTCTCTAATAGATATTGTAACTGCGACGAATTGTCTCGTTGCAAGCTTTGCTGAGTTTGACATCCAGTTCCACTGGTTATTATACTTTCTTGGGGTACACAATTTCCGGTAGGAGGTATCGCCAAGCGCTGACTTAAACTGCTTCTGTCGATTGGGGTTGAAGGTTGCTGGACTGGGTTTTTATCTGGTTCACGAGCGTTACTACTACTTTCCCTGTCCGACAGTTGATGTTCAATATCATTACCAAAAACTTCTTCTTCAAGCTTCCGAAGCTCATCTCGACGTCGTTGTATTTCCCGTTTCTTCATAGCCATCTCATGCTCAATTCTCGCCTGATGCATTTCTTTCTCTAGTTTAAGCCTTGCCTCCCTCATCTGCTTGTTCAGCTCTTCTCTTCTATTAATTTCCAATTCTTCAAGTTCACGAAACCGTTCTGCCCATTTTGAATCAAGCGCGCTCGTTACTCCAGCCCCGTTGTCTTCAAAATTTGTTGTTTGCGTCGGCTTTTCCCACGCACGAGCAGTCCGCGTGACGTTCACGTGAGAAGCTGCTTGTTTACCGATATTAGAATTGGACTGGAATACAGGAGCAAGAGGCGATAAAACCGAATTATCCTTCAAAAATGAAGCGACCTGACTTAGACCAAGTTCAAGCTCCTGTTCCTGTTCGTCTGCTACTCGCTCCGGCGAACCCAAACTCGTCGAAGCCTCGTCAGAAACGACAACTTGCTTGTTTTGTACGACGACGTTCGGTCCGCTTTCAGCTCGCTCGCTACCGTCATCTTCAGCGGATTCAATCATGTCTTGATTCGTATTGTTAAGCGAATTCTCTCCAGATTTAGCTCGACTCACTTGACCTGGAGGACTTAACTGTTCGCCAGACGGCTGAAGTACGCGTTTTGATAAGCCTTTAATTTTCGACTTTTTACCTTGACCCTTTCGTTTCTGAGTCATTGCTGATCGATTAAACAACAATTACGAGAACTATATAAGCTTCAACAATTCCAGGCTTATGTGACCAGCAAGATACTCGTACATAAACTACTATTAAAACGACGACCGGTATACAGATAAGTCTTTATTTCAATGCAATGCGTCAAACGTACGGTTCTAAACGACAGAGTATAGATATTAACATAACCGACAAGGAGGCCTAAAGCCGTAATCATCGTTACCTCGTAATTTGGCCACTAAATATAAACATCCATGTACAAAAAATACACCACTATACATGAATTGTGCTCAATCTCAAAAGACCCCAAGAACCATGCTTTTATACGGGTCCCTTTTTGTTTATAATAATTAGCATAATAATTAGCATAACCTAAGCTCTATGCATCTCGATCCTACAACCTTAATTGGCGAGAATAAAGGAAAGTAAAGAAAATGTAATTTAGAAAACAAGCGACCACAATATTCTTTGACTTAAATATCACAAGGAAGCTCAAGAAGCAACGATAGAAATATTAATATTGAAGAAGGTCCATTTATTGTAGCGTCGGTCACATTTAGGGAATATTCAGTAGGTCCACTTCGCTGTGCAACTGGCTGCTGTATATTTAATAAGATTTCTGGCTGCCGTCGGCCATTTCATCATTCCTATTGGTCAAAAAAAGTAATCGACTGGCTGCCACTATAGTAATCACACACTTAGAAAGATATGTGGCACGAAAAGTTCAAGGGAATGACTCTACTGTGTATTCGCTATACTGTGCGTCGTATAGTTATAGTATTTATCGAAAACTTTGTTAGACCAATAGTTAAAAGGCCGAAGAAGATTGCTTATTTGATTGGCTTATCAGTGTCAATGACGTCAACTGATGTCCCCCTTAAGAGTATTTCTCATTTGCTTTTTGCACCATCTCTACGAATCCTCAGATTTTACGTGTGCCCTGTGCGATCAACAAGTCTAGATCAAATGTCTTATTTTGCCAGTTTGAAGTTTTCATAAGCGACGATTGATCCCGGATGATATTCCAGGAGGGTGCTCTAGTTCAGATCGGATTTTAGTGGCTACTAAGTGAATGTCACAGTGCCATGTGAGGCGTTTTTTGTTAAATTCTGCTACTTTTATACGAAAGTTTTGGTGATTTGGAAGTATGCTCCATTAAACACAATTACTTTTGCGTATTTTCTTGGTATGAGAATATTTCAGTGGAAAACCACCCTTTGTGTGCCAACTTCAGCCAAGACTTGGAGGCAGTGACGGACACTAAGGGGGAAGGCGAGATGTTTCTCGAGTCTCGTCAATAATTTTCATAGATAAAAATCTTGCGCCAAATTACCTGAGATCTCCCTAGAAATCTCACCCCTCCAATATTTCATAGTGTCCGCCACTGCTTGGAGTGATGTGCACCCCTCCGTACACACGCCTTCCAGTAAATTCAACCTTTTTGATCAGAAGAAAGCAGCAATAAAATTTAAAGTGCCTATTAAACGGAAATTTTTCTATCTGAGTTGTACTCTTATCAAATAGATTGTATTGTATTGTATAGGCACTTCATATAGAAACTTACATCATGTGACTCTTCAGTAAATCCGAATTTTTTCACAGTGGTCGCTTACGGATCTCAGATAACATTACGTCACACCCACGGCAAGCAGTGTTGGCTTCATTCACATGCTCATGTGTATCCTGTCAAGTACGAGGATAATCGTGGCAGTAGCGCACAGCAGCAAGTCACGTGTTATCCATTTAAGGACATCAACAACTGGTGGATAGTGAAGGATCCTAAAGTGTAAGACGGGGTGTTTTGGGGTGTATTTTATTTGCCGTAAACTCTTTTCGTTATCCGTTTTCAACGCAATGACATGTCAGGTTTTTCTATGAAAAATCCAAATTTATTTCGATTCGGACTTGACTAGCAAAGCAAGGGTTAGGAAGTGATTTCTTAGAAACTTATTAGTCATTACAGATCGAACGATATTGGAAAGCTTTATTCGCTGCATATTACCACTTCGTAAAACAGTGCAAACAATATTTCAGGTTTATGCAATGTACATCTCTCCATATACGAGGGTTTTAATCGAGTATGGCGGAAACAAGTATTCTTAATTTTTATTACAGTGACAAGTTAACAACCGACTATCCTCCCGTACCTGTAAAGAATGGCGATGTTATACAATTGGTTCATGGAACAACCGGAAGGGCATTGAATAGGTAAGCACGCGGCCCATGAAAAAACTTCAAAAGTAATGTATCGGCTAAGAAATGCCGACCTTCGACAGACTCAGGTCAGCACTCTCGACAATTCCTACGACGGAATGTTGCTGGCAAAATAACGGTAAAATATCGCCTTTATGTTGAATCAACATTCATATGTGGAGTTAAATGAAGATAAGATCTTCGCACTTTGCTGGACAATTTAAGCAATTGTCTCATTCTTCATATTCATATGTGGAGTTTGCATCACAAGTTTGTAAATGATGATCGTCCAGGTTAATAAAGTCCTGAGAAGGACTGTTTTGTTTTGTTGACTGACGTTTCGACAACCTTAGCGGTAGTCATCTTCAGAGTCAAAAAAAAAAAAAAAAATTTTGACTCTGAAGATGACTACCGCTAAGGTTGTCGAAACGTCAGTCAACAACAACAAAAACAGTCCTTCTCAGGACTTTATTAACCTGGACGATCATCATTTACAAACATGTAAAGATACTCCCGGGTTCAAACCATTTACTTTGTAAAGATACTCCCGGGCTCAAACCATTTACTACCAAATTCGAACGTGAGAAAGTATGTCGAAAATGTTGTTTTCACAGGATAGCGAATATACAGTAGAGCCATTCTTTTAAATTTTTCGTGCCACGCATATCTTTACGCATGTGATTACCGCAGTGGCAGCTGGTCAATTGCTTTTTTTGACCCATAGGAATGAGTAAATGGCTTACCGCAGCTAGCAACCTTGTTAAATGTACAGCAGCCAGTTGCACAGTGAAATGAGACTACTGAATGTTTCCTATACTGTATAATTTCTATTTCCTCTAGCAAGTTTGGCGACCTTGGAGACTTACGAGTCGGCTTTTTGTCGGCATTTTCGGCTGTGCCGACCTAGTTTTTAAGGGCACGCAGCACGAATATAGTCGTTTTTGAAAGATCGTATTAAAATAGTGTAAAGATGGTTGCTTTTTTTGCGTATTTTGCATATTCATTTTAATACTTCAGTGAAAACTGTGAACAACCTAATTGACTCTTATGCCAGTTTACAATAGAGCTGCGCGATATGTACAGGCATGTTGTGTACTTGACAGCTAAGACACTCCATAATAGTTCTAGATTCAATGCTGACAAATTATGGCAACTTAGATTTTAATTGTAAAATACACCTTCAATCATTAAATTCCATAGGTTATGAAGTTCCAAGGAATACCAACTGCTTTTAATATATTATCAATATGCTTATAATGAATTATCCATACTGAAAATTTGAGCGTAATTTTGAACACGGACGTAGGAAAATTGATAATCGGGCGGAGGGGGCGAGCTCTCATTCAAATATGCATGGTTATTTCAAACGGATTTCAATAGAACGTAATACGGCATATCATACATGTGTCATACGCATATATGATATATGATTCTGAGATTTACAATCAAAAGCAATTATCGATCTTCCTACGGCCATGGATTCGAAAATGTGTATTTCTCGTATAACTCTCTATCTCTATGCTTACCAAATTTTTATTATTTTTATGTATTTTAGTCACGATGTTGCATCACCTTTGACACCACAACACCAAGATTTAGTATTTTTATGTATTTTAGTCATGATGTTGCATCACCTTTGACACCACAACACCAAGAAGTCTCTTGTTATATCGATTACAATATATCTATGGCTGCTCAGAATCTTTGGCGTTTGGTACGTATATAACACGTGGATGTTTTCACTATGTCACGGGAGGTCGCCTGGAGAAAAATAAGTAAATGCCTGATGCAGACAATCCTGTAATGTCGTGGGGGGAGGGCGAGGGGCTGTGAAGGGATGAATGTTTCAAACCAAGCTGTTTACTAAGCCCTTTCCAGTCAGATCATGTTTCTATGGCAAGCCAAAGGATAAATATCAATAACAGTTACTTCTTTCTTTTTCATATTTTGTAGCAATATATCATCATACCTATTTGTCCATTCGAGAATTTGATTGAAGAATTATTACAATGCAACTATTATGATATTATAAAATACGAAATCGCAATGCTTTCCTTTATTAAAACCACACGATTCTCCGTGATACGCATTAGGGAAAGAGGGGGGGGGGACAAGCCCTGGCTTATATTATAGACAATATCAAAAGATTGTCCCGCTCAAGCAGCCAATCAAATTGCTGGAAATAAAAAAATATCTCTTTGTATTGCTAAATGAAAAAATAATTGAAAATATTTTTATTCAGTTAGCCCGTATTCCGGAGCATTAGATTATCTTAGCTTGGTTACGTGTTTTTGAATGAGCAACCGTCTCCTCTGAATAGTTTTCTCTTGCTTATTTAGGAAATTGTAAATGGATACGAGAAGTCCGAATGGCAGACTCTTCAATCACAAGTTCGTCTAGTTCATGTCAACACGTCTCAAGCCGTTAAGGTGTTTATTTTTCAATTTGTGTTATGTGTTGTTGCGCTTCATCAACAACTTTAAATACAACGATGCGGCAGTTTCTCCCACGCGTTTGTAAATGTAGATCGTCCAGGTTGGTATAGTCCTGAGAAGGACTGTTTTTGTTGTTGTTGACTGACGTTTCGACAACCTTAGCGGTAGTCATCTTCAGAGTCAAAAAGAACTCTTTTTAACCTGACGTTTACTCCTCATTTGACTCTGAAGATGACTACCGCTTAGGTTGTCGAAACGTCAGTCAACAAAAACAAAAACAGTCCTTCTCAGGACTATACCAACCTGGACGATCGACATTTACAAACATGTAATGATACTCCGGGTTCAAACCATTTACTTTAGTTTCTCCCACTTTGGCGACTGTATCATTAGCGCTCTTGTCTACTTGCATTACCCTCCCCCCGGGATTTAAAGCGTGGTTCAAACTCGCGTGATACCGTAGCTCTTCGAAGCAGAAGTATACCGTAAATGATTCGGAGCAGGGGCCGTTGCATGAAGCCTGGATAGCGTTATCCATTGGATAGCAAAAATCAGTAAACTGCAAAATCTTCAAACTTGTAAAAAAAGGTGTTTATATTTTTCTTTTTTTTAAAATTCAGTTGGAATCTTGTACTTTTTGCTTTTTAAAAGTTTTAAAAAAGTTGCTATCTAATGGATAACGCTATCCATGCTTCGTGCAACCATTCCCCAGGAGTATACCGATACATACTAGCATATATTGATTGAAGTTCACTAACATTAGTATTTATATTACGAAAACTTTCAGATCATTGCCGCATGACCGCTTAATACAGTACCACGTGATACATGTTCAACTGTATTATCATAATGGCAATAGGGGGGGGCTATTATTAGACATGGGGTGTTTATTCGAGAGAGGTGTCTAATAGGTGGATTTAAACCATTTCACAACGACTCAAAAGACAGAGATATTCGCCATGTCGGTTGAAATTCGAATTGTACACAAGAAGAATCATTTGTCAAAATCAACTAATATGGCGGCCGTGACGTAACATGCAAACCACGTTTGAACTTCGCGTTTATTGAATGATTTGCGATAGGCACTGCAGGTTTTAGCGCTGTCGTGTTTATTTGATTTTACTCGTGAGAAAAAAAAATTCTACTTATACAGACTTATGCTTTCGTAGAAAAATGATTTGTAAACTTTTAGGACAAGTGTGAACCTAGCAGGCTTAGAACAAACCAATCATGTTTCTTCTGAGTATATATGTCTCACTTTGACGTATGATATTTTTTTTAAGATCTCGGGAAAGCAGTTACCTGACTGGGGATTCCATCAGTTTGAAGTACGTATTGCAGTGTTGAAATACATTAAGTGCGGAATCAGACATCTAACAAAAAGAAGCTTTTTACAGAGAGGCGCAAGACAGAAACCATTTTTATTAATTCATGTGCAAAGATTGTTGCTCGCATCCTATAGAGAGTTAGTTAGCGAGTAGAATGTCCAGTCAAGGTACAGACTGTACGATACAGTATTGGCAAGATTCTATCGAATAGTTCTCGAACCGGACACACTGATTGGTCGATAAGAATAGCATTGCCATGGCAACCACGTTGAAAGAATTGACGACAGCATTCTTTATTTATGCCATATACCATTCAATGTTTCTTAAATTTAATTGACAGGTCTGTACCGATAGAATTATTCAAAGCGATGAAACAGTTTGGAACGTCGAAGAACATCAACAGAACATCACTTATCGTAAGTTGAAATGTATAAAATAGAAAGTGGTGTGTCGTTATCTCGAATCCTGTTAGCGTTCATGACGATTTCGAATTTATCGTTTCGGCTGGAAATTTCTTTCTTCAGCCGAAGGAGTTAAACCGGAGGAAACGACTTCGAATGAAGACGTGGTGGTTGAGATGCCATTTTACGAGAAATTTAAAGAACTTCAGGTAAAGTTGTTGTGTTATCAAAGTAGCTCTAGCAAGTACAAAAAAGCATATGTTAAACTGACTTTTCCAAGATGGTTTTGACAGTACCTTCAATATTAGCGTTACATGGGACATTAAAGTGCCCCTTCCGCGAAACTTTTTATTTGCGATGTAAAATTAAGATATGAATTCCAACGTATCGGTGAAAAGTTTTTAAGTTTGTCAAATCGTTTCATTTTTATGGCTATTTAAAGTTGGCAAAAATGCTCCTTTTAATGGACTTTGTCTGTCTATCAAAAGTCGGGAACGACTTACTTTTGTGACGTTATGCAATGGCTTCCTTAGTACGAGATATATATACAAACCGACTACCTAAGATGACATCAGAATTTGGCTTATCCCGACCTTCATGCCATGGCGAACAAGGTCCATCGAAAGGCAACTTAAAACCGGCATTGCAAGAAGAAGATTTGGCTAAATTTAAAAAAAATTTCAACATTGCACCTAGTTTTACAACCACAAGCAAACGTTTCTGCTGGTTTAAAGCCTCTTGGTCAAAGTAGCTCGTAACATTTTCTATAATAATTCATTCAGTTTAAGATGATGACTGCGACGAAAGAACTTCAGCAAGATCATTTATTTAGCTCACGACCAGAGCACTGGCCGTTGATGAAGCGTGGTGTAGCTTATTGGCTTGATAACGACAGCAATGTAAGTTATTGCTATGTTAGAAGAACTGCTCAACGTTATTGTAACATCACCTAATGTTATTGCAACACTATTTCAACTTATTACAACACTGTCTGAAGTCATTAGACTATTGCTGCAACACCGCGCAACAACCTATGACGAAAATATACTCTTTGAACTTCTCCTTAACCTAACACGATATTGACTTGTTCACGAATTTTCCACTGAGTTTCTTATCACGCACGAATATATTTTTCTTATAGAAACAGATTTTCTGTATCGGTAATCCCATGGTATGGTGGCCAGCTTTCTTGACAATTCACTTTTACTTCGCTTTACTTGGTTTGTACTTGTTACGACGTCAGAGAGCCTTTTATGACATCGACGAAGGTTGGTGTTTACGAAAATTAGAAAAAATAGCATTGAATATTTTTTTTGGGGGGGGGGGAGGGCGAAGGGAAAGGCGAGCACCGATTGCTTGAGAAGAAACCCACGCCATAACTTTTTTTGACAACTGCGCATGTGCCGAGAACTTGCCTCGCTTCTTGAACAACAACCGACTGCAGAATTTTTCGACTTTGTTAGAGAGTGGTGGAAGTAGTATCTTCGTCTCTTCTTTCGTCTTGTATGCACTCGAAAAAGTTCTCAAGTGTCTCTGTATCATGAAGAATTATCACTCTATTTTTTCTTCTAGAATGCTGGCAAAAATTCGTTTTTTGTGGCTGCCTTCTTCTTGGTGGATACTTCTTACATTATCTACCATTCTTTCCCGCCGAGCAAACGTTATTTATTCATCAGTATCTTCCTGCATTGCTCTTTAACATACTTCTCCTACCTTCCCTTGCACAACATGTACTCGACAATTTGAGGTGAGTCAAATTACGGTTCTCATTAACCATTGACAATCACCTAGAACCCCCAATGTACTTAGATGTACTGACTCAACCCGAAATTCTATAGTTATGAGTGGTATGGTAGTCACGAGTCAGACAAGTCGCCATCTTGAAAGGCGAAAAAACTGACGATGAATCATGCGTTCGAGTAAAATTTGCTGCTGCATGGACTGCGTAATAAAAGTGTAAGATTCGTTTTGTTCGTATTCTGTTTACGAATATCTGCATTTGTTTTGACGCCCAATAAAATTGAAATGTGAACATTGCATTCACTGTTGTTCGTGCAATATCGAAGTTTCTCTTTCAATTTACGGTCAGCGCGTGTGCGGATATTTTAATAAAAAACACCCACAGCAGTTTCTAGCGAGGACGAACACCAGGCGAAAGGACGAGGGCGAGCGCATCCCTGCAATATTTTCAAATCGTTGCGTCATTAACTTCTATGCCTAAGTCATTTTTGCGAGTTTTGAGAAAACAAGAAAGAATTATTATCATTTTGAAAACAGTCAGGCTTTTTATTGAACATAATGTTGAACATTTATTGAGTCGTTTCTGATTGGTCAATTAACTTCGGTCATAAATAGAGAATACACCACTGGTTAAAATACAAGTCCATCGTGATGAATTATACTACTTAATGAATATTTTTATTAATTTGTACTTTAGTAATTTAACTAAATAATCCTGTGACCTCCTCCGTTCGAAATTTCAAAATTTGGATCATTTTGCCAGTTGCCTCCCTGCCAATTTTTTGTCAAATGTCCCCCTGGTCGATCTAGGCCATACATAACAAATAGCTACAAGTTTGTTTTATTTCTGGACTGTTTACGATTTGATAAACTCTTTTATCAATAAATCTTCATGGGGTGTTTTACGGCTGGTTACCAGGGAGTTACTGATTAATGTTTCGGTATTAAAAAAGCAAAATAATGCTTATCGTTGATGTTATCATGTCGCATTCTATGATCCGTGTAGGACCACTGCTTCAGACCAAGAATTTATATTCAGTTATGAAGTTTCAAACTGGGTTTGAAAGTTTGCACGTAAATGCACATTAAATTTAAGTACGGCTTTCAATAAAAGTGATCTTATTAAAAAACATTCATCGCTGCTATGCGTATTCTCACAGTGCCAACCGGGTGAATATTGAGATGCTATCTAAAGCCTGGTCCTCGCTTGCGGCATTAGCGTAAGTAAAAGATTATCAAAACTATCCGTTCTTTTTATGCTTATGTTTATGTTTTTTTCGCAAGTGAGGACCAGGCTTAGTTATACATCATGTAAATAACGGCATATTGTGACACCCCCTGCAAAACTGGTTGAATTTTTTTTGGGGGGGAGACCCATTTTCAATCCAGCTAGGACCATTGCTTCAGACCAAGAATTTATGTTCAGTTATGAAGTTTCAAACTGGGTTTGAAAGTTTGCACGTAAATGCACATTAAATTTAAATATGGCTTTCAGTAAATCCGTGTTGACGGATGGACGGACTGAGACTCAACCAACCACGTGTCGTTAAAATCATCTGTGTGATCACTCAGTGCTCTGATCTGGGTTTACACAGATGTTCTGCTGCTTGTGCATGTGTTTCTATAATTTACTGGAGTTTCATTATTGATAAAATAAAACGGTGTCTCATGCTGAGATTTTTCACCTGATAATGATGCTTTTTAGTTCTTTAGAATGGAGGATTAAAAAATCGATTTAAACCTGCGCTATTGTCAAGGAAATTTTACACTGTAAATGTAAAGCACGCGTGTCTGGAATTTTAAAGAGAATGACGTTTTTTTAAAACAGTAGATTTTGCGATTGTGGTGCGTTTCCTTCCGGAATTTTCCAATAGCGGAAAAGCATTAAAATTGTAAACAACTTTGATTTTTTACCTTATTTTCTAGTTTTATTCCTTATCTACGGACAGCGTCGTACGTCATCATTACCATATATGGATTTCTAGTACTCAGTGCTTTTCACTACTTCAGTCCGTTTACGTACGGCGATACCCATCTGACTGGAGACGAAATTCTTCAAAGAAAATGGCTTGATTCGTGGGATTTCCTTATACATCGCTGACACCATGAAACGTTCTTCGATTTTTGAGCTCGTTCGAAAGTTTTAACTTTGAAGTTTTGCTTTCGATTATGTCGTCTTGAGCGACAGTCAAATTAGTGTGACATGCTTTTTAATATTCCACTCACTCAAACTCAAATACGATGATCGTTGAAGACATATATAGACAATATCACATGTATTCTAAACGCTCGCTCACATGCGCACTAATTGATTGCAAATTCATTTGTTCACAATTGCTAAAATATTTCAAATGAAGCAACTAGCGGTGTAAAGTATCGTCTTCGAATGGTTATGAGGTGATTTTGAAACCCCGCTCGGTGAGCGCTTTTGTGAGTTAGCTTTTATCGCACAGGCGTTAGTCTCTGTTAGTTTGTTTCACGAATTAGCCAATTAGGACGAGGCAAGGTGTTAATTTAAGAAACAGATGTCGACTGTTTTATGAAATTTCTAATTGAACTTTGAGCTAAACGTGGTTTTAAATAATAAATAGCAGCGAGCACATCTTAATCCATGGAAATCTACGAATATTATTACAGATATATATTATGCTACGAGAAAAGGGGTGCTCTTTGTTCGCTTTCCATAGTCTGTTATTATATGTTTTCATGTCTAAGAAAAAGAACTTATTGTATTAAATTTGACTACAATCAAATTCCATGCGACATTGTCCAACATTATGCAACATTATAAAAAAGGGTGGTCAAACGGGGCCAACATTTTGCGACAACAACGTTGGATGATGTTGGATCAAAATTTTGCGCTCGTTTGACTGGAGCTTTAGGTCAACACTTGCTTGAGCCAGGTGAAGATTAATGGAATATCAATTGTAATCCTACGTTTGATTAAATCGTTTTTTGTTAGTCTATTCCAAGGAAACCTCTTCGCGTTTCTCGCTGTTTTTTTTTCAGGTAAAATACCATTTTCCCCTTAAATAGTAAACTGCGAAAACGCCTACTTTTGATTTTGATCAGCTCTCTGTATATGGTCAATGAAATTATATGGGTCAATCGCAATCAATATCGTCAATATTCTGCAGCGTATATAACGTACAATCTTCGCGAATTTGTGGGAGACTGGGTTCGAACCCGGAATATCTACTCGATCTTTCAAGTATCAAACTGAGCAGTGTACGTAATTTCGGCGATAAGGACAAGACCTGCCTTTGTTTACCGAGAAGCAAGGGAGTATTCTATATTTCTTGTCGCCATTTATTGCAAACATCGCTTTTCAGCACGAGAAATTCAACAGCCGACCACCAAACGGTCTCATATTACCACGTCGCCATACGTAGAATATTTGTGGTATTTTTTTTAACCGTCTCGTCGTTGACTTGTGACCGACGGGTCGACCTTTCTGTGTATTTGAATCTTGTTAATACTTTAAAACTTGCAACGGAAGAAGGATATTAAAGTTTCACAACGTTCTTCTCGCATGCACAAATGGCTACGCAGGCTTCGTGTTTGGATCTTGCATTGGAAGGGGAACGTTTGTGTAAAGCTGGCGACTGCCAGAACGGAGTTTCTTACTTCGAAGCGGCTATTCAAGTAGGCACGAAGGATTTAAAGACGCTCAGCGCCGTGTACAGTCAACTGGGCAATGCTTATTTCTTCTTACAAGAGTACGAGAAAGCCTTGGACTTTCATCGTCAAGACCTGAGTCTCACCAGAACGCTCGGCGACCAAGAAGGCGAAGCGAAAGCCAGTGGCAATTTAGGAAACACGCTCAAAGTTTTGGGCAAATTTGACGAAGCGGTCGTTTGCTGTATGAGACATCTTGAATTATCGAAAGAAGCTGGCAATAAGGTTTGGTGTTTATCGATTTAAAACATATTGCTTAGTCTCTTTATAGTAGGGTTTGTATAGGATTTTAGCTGCTTGTCAACAAAGTAGAAACCTGAAGTATTGTTCTTTTGACAAGTATGACGGAGAAGCATTGTACAAATCGTGAATTGCACATGATTTACGGTGTGTTTTTGTCGTGTTATTGTTTCATATTCCTAATTTTCGGTAGACTCGAAAGTCTTGACAAATTTCTTGTTTTGTCGAAAGAGAAAGAATATTTTCACCAGCCGAGATATTGTAGCGAAAATTATTTACCCTGGACATATTATTTACTGTTTTTTAAATTGATTGCATCGGAAAAAAGCCATGGAAACGTTTAATTAAAATGTTCAACATGTTTCGGATATTGTTTTAAATGAATGCCCCTCGTCTGCACACTTAATTCGCGTCGTCATTTCACGCTTTAAAAGTGGTTTCGTCAATTTTAGTTAATATGGTTTTGAAGGAAACTAGACAGTTGACGCAAATGAATTAAAAGCATTTGAAAACCCCAGGTTTTCCTGAGATGTAATCTAGGAAACATTAAGATGATTAAATTTTTATAATCAGGACCTGGTTAAACTGTAATGAATGATTCGGAATGACGTATTTCTATGGCATGGCTAGGGCAATTAAACACTGACGGTCATATTTTTTGAAAACTCTTGATTTAGGGAATACTTAAAATTTGCATTTTATGGCAATTGCACATTTATCATAAATTTTACGATTTCTTATGAGCTAATATGTGGATTGAGTGAAACGAATAATAAATGCCTAAAGCCAGTTTAAGTAGTAAATTGATGTATTCATTGTCTTGCTCTCTTCCATTAAGAGAGTGCAGATAGAACTTTATGATGTGCATGGACATTTTCCTGACTAAGCTTACTGCCGTAATTTGCTCATAATATTGATAATGCAATTTTTATTGACATTGGAGAAATTCGGGCAAGATTTGATCTCTGATAGTTGACATCTGTTCCATGTCCATACTCAGAGATAAAACATATTGTTTGCTCAATTCTCAATATTGTGCTTTCAGCATCATGCATCACTTAGAACAATCTCAACTCCATTCATTTTACTATTGACAATGCATAATGACATGGCATTGATGGCTGCCACATATTGCATTGCCATTAACTAAAACCTCTTTGTGAGGTTAATTTTGCTGCAAAGGGTCTGTTAATTGCTCAATAAATGAGTGGGATAGTATTCACATATGCTTGTTTTGCTGCAGGACGCTCCTTTAAATTCAATTGCTTTGTGGGTGATTACAATATGAATATATGAATATTGTTCCACTCACTTATCAAGGTGGCAATGCTGCTGATATTATATCTTAACTCTTAGAATGAACATAGCTATGAATGATAATACACACTCCAGAAAACAGCATCTTGTTAACTCAAGATTTGAGTTAAAACAGCAAGAGACAAGATTCAAAGCAATATTTGAGAAAAAGAAATTTTTTATCTTAACAGTAATCTTTCAAGTTTAGTAGAAATGACTCTATTTGAGTCTATATTAACGAATAGAATCTGATGATGAATTGGTTATAAATTCAAAATATTACTGCTGAAATAAAGGTTGTCTTATTTTTCTTCTCATATATTTGTTGAACATGAACTTTTATTTGGAGCATGCTTCATATTATATTACATAAAATTGTCGGCTGGTAATGGATTGAAGCAATATTTAGAGTTTATTTTAAAACCATTGTCAAGGTAAGTAGCTCTTCCATGGGATTAACTAAAAACACTTTATATAAAGACAAAGAGTGAACTGTGCTCTCTGTGTATGAAAGTCTATCGCTAATTGAACCTGAAAAGATTTCAGTCTGTCACTGCAGAATAATTCTTTAACAAAGTAGCTTATGTGTTGCAAAATAATTTAATCTTAATCCAGTCTTTCTTGGTTACAATAGTATGTAATCATTATCACCACAAGTTTACCTTGCCAAGTTGATCTTTGTGAGAGAAAGCAACATGGGGGGATTAGGTTGTGAAGGAACTTGTTTGCATTTGAGCAGAGAATGAAGGAGAGACTTATTATAACTTTGAATGCATCTTGCTGTTTTGGAAATTCTAGACATCATCCAAATATTGACAAACATGGATTGTTTTCAGAATCCTTATCTTTCATTTAATGACATCACTGGTCTGTAGATTTATCAAAATATGTTCAATCACATGATTGTATCATAATCACTTCGACTGCTTGTTTATTGAAGCGAAGGCATGCACGCATAAATGCTTTAAGGCTTTGTTCTTGCTTGTTTGCTTTGATTTTGATGAGAAGCAGGAATTGTGATTAAAAATGTGGGTGAAAAACATGGAGTTTTGTCGGTCTTAATGCAAGCAAAGATAGGCATATTCAAGCCGAACAGGTCCGTAACTAGAAATTTTTAAGAGAGGCGCACATTTGAGAAAAACGAACTTGTACTCGTTATTTTATTGGCTTTTTAAACGACGATTTTGTTTTGTATGCTGACAATACCCTTGGTTAAACCTGGTTTAACTAGGCACACAAGCTTTAACCAAAACTAAACGCAAAAAAAACACACTGATCGAGTTCAATTGCACGGACACCTTTTTTATTTCTGAATTTCGACTGCAATTTCATTTATTGTTGACCACTTTTTCTGTTGTATTTTTGTATTTTAGAGAAAACGGATCTTATGGAAATATGCGCGGGGGGTGGGTGGTGGTGGTGGTGCACGTGCACCCAGCGCACCCCCTCCGGTTACTGGCTGACCATAACATATTTAATGAGTTATCAAATTTCTGTCTTCCTTGGTGCATTTACTATAGTTGAATATAGTTTTCTTGACCCATGGATATTCTGTGAATTACTGAAATGTAAAAATGGATGAATCTTAGTCCCTTTTAGAAAGTTTGCGATCATCTTGTTTACAAATTACAAGCCAGGGTGATGTTTATTTGGGAGTGATGTCTCTTACATATAGACATCTACACATAGAGGGAGGGGTGCTAGTTGGATCGCTAGTGGTTACCTACGGTACCCATTCACTGTTCTTTTATTTTCTTTTGTTGATGCAGGTTCTTGAGGCAAGAGCTTTATATAACTTGGGAAACATTTATCACGCAAAAGGAAAGCATGCCGGCCGAAGCTTTCATCAAGATCCCGGTAACTTTCCCGAAGAGGTTCGAGTGGCTTTGGAAAAGGCTGCTGAGTTTTACGAGTATGTTAACCTTCTTGTATCTGTTGGCTGTACATGTAGTCTTTAAAGAAACAAAAAATAGACGTTAAGAAATTTTAAAGTCATTTTGCCAAGAATTTTGAAGAATACAAGGCAAACGAAGTCTGTAAGGATCTATAGTCAACATGTTAAAACTGCACGACACTCTGAGACTAAATTTTATAAGCTAAGGGGGGTGGGGGTGGGTATTCTCAACGTTGACTTAGGTTTCAGAGACTACATGTTGCTGAAGCTTGTAAAATATTTTTTGTTACATTCTGCAGTCTGTACATTTTTATTATGATTGGGAGATTTTTGGAAGTGTATTCCGAAAAATATTTATCACAATTGCTTTAGCTTAATTGTTTGGTATATTTGTATTTTGTTGAGGAATTGCACCCGTTCGCACTCCTTTCCTGAATCAGCTCTGATACAAACGTTAGAAATGTTAATTGAAATGCTTTTTAGAAATGTTAGTTTTAAGTTCTCGGCGTTGTTAGAAGACATTCCAATATGTCTGTTTTTATATATACACTTTGTAATGTTTGCGCTCGATTTGTCTATAATGACATACATGTTGGTATCAACCTGTATGATCAGAGTTTATGATTGGTTCAAAGCACAATGAAGCAAAATACGCTCGGTACTCTAGATATATTAGAAAATAACAAATATAAAGAGCGAATAGGTTGTTTTCTTTTCTATATTAGAGACGTTAAGATTTCACGACGCGCGTGACAACGACGCGAGTTTGGCGCGCAAGGCCTGGTGCGAATGCGTATGCGTGTCATTGTTATTTAAGCCATTAAGATTGATTTCCTTTAAGACGCGAACTTGTGAGTTCACTACCTTTACTTTCAAAAAAATGGCCTCCTTCAAAAAAAAACAAGAAATGCTTATAGTTGTTGCGTATGACGCCGCTTTGATAAACGAAGAAGAATTTGCGCTTTTGTATGATGTGTCACGTTCAAAGAATCCAGAATTAGAATATGGCGACTATTCATCTTTTGATTTGGAGGAAATTGATGAAGTTACATGTGCTGTAGACTTTCGTTTTAAGAAACACGAAATTCCTTTGCTGGCTGAAGCGTTAGATTTTCTTCATCGTTTCAAGTGTTGTATTCACCCAATCTGATAGCCATTCGTATACATGACGAAACTTACGCGTCATGTCAAAAATTTAGACAATTCCGGGTAACGTAGCTTCCGTTCCGCCACCTACGTCTTCAGCCGTTACCCGTACGTTAAGTGGCTGGAGAGATTTAAGTTTTGTTTTTCTTTCATTCTGCGCAAGCCACGCACAAGTAAAAGCACGGTCTTCAACGGATTTTTTTCTTCTTCAAGACTTATTTTTTCTGGGGTGTTTTTATTACGTCGGTTGAAGAGCATTTAGCTGGTGCAAAAACGTTTGTAATTTTGATTGCTTTATTTTCTCGTATTTAGAGAAAATCTCAAACTCGTACGAGAGTTGAAGGACCGCCGTGCTCAAGGAAGAGCTTGTGGTAATCTTGGAAACACGCATTATCTATTGGGCAACTTCAGTAAAGCTATACTCTATCACAGAGAGGTACTTTGCATCTTTTTATTTTTGTCATGATGCATTCATAGGTCAACTTTGCTTGAAATGGCCCTTCAACTTCATCAACTACACTCAATTCCCAACAATGGAAAATGCCATTTCGACATGCAATTTTTATTCTATTGGCTAGTACTCGATCATTTCTGATTGTTACGAATTGAAAAACATATCATTGGAAAGCCGAAGAGCTTCTCCGTGTAGTTATGTAAAAATATAAAACGTAAAACACAATATCAAATGTACGATAGCATATTAAATTCCGGTATACTTTTTTATACAAAAACCGTATACAAAAACCGGAACATCTTGACGAGCTTTTTTCAAGTGTAAATTTCAGATTTTTAACCGTGGTCCAATGCCACCAATCACTGCATGCTGCAGCCAATTTAAAGTTTCGGTGTCCTCTCCCTGTTTCTAACTTACATGAAAAAAATTAACACGAATGTCCCACTGTATTGTGAATGATATGTTTTATCTTCCGTAGCGTTTGGTAATTGCTCAAGAATTTTCTGACTCGGCTGCCGAGAGACGCGCATACAGTAACCTTGGAAATGCTTATGTTTTTCAAGGGAAATTCGACCTGGCCACAGACTGCTACAAGTAAGTCAACCATAGGCTTTCATTCGCTTCACATACGCACCTTATGTGTGAAATAGATACAGGATGATCTTATTGTAAGGATGATCTTGTTTGGATTATATTTCGGTTTGCTATTTTACGAATGTCGCCGTGCCATGTTTGACTTAATTGTGAGTTTCTCTTACTTTTACACCATAATTTGGAGAAATTCTTCCCGTTTACTACCAATCACAATTGCTTTTGCTAAATTGCTTGGTACATTGATATTGTATAGGAAAGTTGACCCCCCCCCGTTAACTAGCCAAGGAAAGGAGGGTAGGACACCCCCCGCACCCCCCAGTTAAGGCATCCCTGCCTTAGGTATATGCGAATATGCTTGAACTGTGATTCGAAGAAATAAATAAAACTAGTTTTACTTACGATGACTCTTAAGATTTTAACTCTCAACCATCGGGCTTTTTCACTAGCGTATTCAGCACTTACGTAAACTAGAATTTAATCCACAGCTTTAAACTCACTTTTGGACCGAAAATTTGTTTGTTGTGTGTGATGTTGAAAAAACTCCGGTTTTTCAGCTCTGAACTCCGGCTGTTTTCTAACTCGAATATCTGGTTGTGACTGGTTGAAAGTTACTGTTGAACAGTCTGAGGTGAATTATTAGTAAAAAATTTTTATGTAAAATTAAATTTCCGCACTGCGACTATCAATCATAAATTAGTATGTGTGAACGCAATCTAGCGTCATGTTTTGTCTTGCTTAAAACGTTTTGTTTTCATGCAAGTTCTTCAATTTTAGCCGATAGTTATCGTTCGTTGATACGAAAATGTTTTGATCGGATACGTTTACTAAAGTCTGACAGTATATTGCAGCACAAACAACTGCTGCCGGAATTTTGCCGGAGATGAACAAACTCCGGGGCTCCGGCAGTGAAAAACAGCCGGAGCTCCGGCATAACTTCGGGCTCCGGTACTCCGGTGCTCAACACTAAATCTTAACAGCTGTATGATCTCATTATGTTCGTATTAAGAAAAATGGGTGTAAGTCCTTGTGTGCCGGCGTTCAATTAAGTGTGTTTTGTACACATTTTGTGTTCCTGCAAATCATAAATGTGCTCTTGCAAATGAAAATATTTGTCCTTTAGAAAGAAGAATATGTTCTATTCTTTATGACATAGCAGTAATGCTTTGTTCATTTGGTTTTTGTCAAAAATCCTCCGATTTGCTCTGAAAATGAAGCGGATTCCACGATGAAAATATAAAAAGCATCTTAATTCTTCTTGAATGCTTGAAAGCAGAAAAATTTGGACAAATAACTGCAAATGAGCCGTGAAAGTTAGAGGTGTGACATTGGTGTGAGACTTGCGGAACCATAAGGAAACCAACGGAAACTCGTTGGAAAAAATCAAGGGTTATAATGTGTCTCTGTGTAAAATGTTTTCTTACGTGTCCCAGCAAAGTCCCACTTACATCAAGTCTCTTATTTAGAATTTCTACCCTGCGGCCAGAAGTCACGAATGCTTTGCTTACCCTATAGCATTGAATTTATTTAATTTCTTTATAATGATAGAATATGTATTTAAGTTAAGCACCACATAAATGATTGATGTTTGATCATGTGTATTTCAGAATAAAACGGTTCTGATCCTTTAAGTATTGAATTTATTCAATTTCTTTAAAATGATAGAATATGTACTTAAGTTCGGCACCACATAGATAAATGATTTTTGATCATGTGTATTTCAGAAAGACTGTTGTGATTGCTCAAACATTGGGTGACAGAGCAGTGGAAGCACAGGTATGACCAAAGTTATAAGATTCAATTACGGTATAAACGTCCGCGCCATTTTTGAGGTCAAATTAAACATGTATATCCAGGGCTGGTCATAGAACGCTAATTTGGAGGGGTGTGTTGGTGTGTGTATATTCATACAACCAGTTTTGCCCCGACTGATTTCTGTTGAAAGTGAATCGGCATGTAAGTGAATGAGAAAACACAGCAGAAACTTTGTCTTTCTCCCCGTTTATTGCTCATTATTCGTTGGCTTTTGGAACAAAAATTGCGGACGATTGTCATTTTTACTTCCGATATACCAAGTCTTTCTTACGTCGGGCTCTGGATAATGTACAGTTATTGTGAATTTAAAATTAGCGGTTATAGTGTATTTTGTCTAACGCATGAAACGGCAATGGCTTTAATAGTTGCTATGAATAATCAAAGCATCAAAAATGAACTATTTACAATTAAATTTGCAAAGTCGTGTTCAATGATTGAAATGGTGCACAGGCTTGGATAAAGTATTTCACTTCCCGGATGCAAACTTCGAAAATAAATACTTCGGAGCTGCGAAAATTGTTCGTTGATAACTCTTGAAAACAAGCCTTCACACATCGCAGTCATCGGCTGCCTGCAACTTCCTAAATTGTATTATTTGATTTACTGAGAACGGATTATAATGTAATCCGACTTAATCCGACTTACGTTTTGGTACATCTTTTTTTCAAATCCGCTCTATATTTTTTGAAATGTTTCCTGTGAGATGGTGCGATTCCTGGCAGCATGCAGCAGTGGCGTGTTGGGAACAACTTCTCCGGGAGGGGGGGGCAGTCGGTTATCACTGAAAACGCGCTTTAAAATACAGCACTTCAAAAACGAGAGCTAAAGGCCTGAGTCGAGCACCAAAAGGTGCGAGTCGTGTTTGTGGGATCCAGGGGCATGCTCTTCGGGAAAATGTTTAAATTAAGAAGCTCTAAAATGCCAGCAGTGCTGTCGTCGCTGCCTGACATTTTCCAGTCCCGAATGTGCACTATATAGGGTTGTACGGCAAGACATCTTTCAACTCTCTCATCGTGTTTATTCTTCACAGGCATGCTACAGTTTGGGCAATACTTATACATTGCTAAGTAATTACGAAGAAGCCTGCAGGAATCACTTGAAGCATCTTGAAATCGCCCAAGAACTCGGCGATCGGTAAATATCCTCTTTTTACTATACTAATGAAGTTTTAGGTTATCAAATTGTGTGCTCTTTTAAAACGTTGTGAACATTCGCTTTGAAAGAAGAGACGCAAAGTATCTTTCCTGCTTAAGCTCAATTATGCAATATTCTTTAACAAATTCGTGAAATAAGTGTTTCGCGTGTCAATCTCTTACTATCTAAGAAACAAAAGATTATATTTGCTCGGGCTTATGCAAACCTAGGAGACCTTTGAGAAAATTCGAGAGTTTTCACAAACGTTTCCGATGTTTGCATAAGCCAGTGCAATCACGAAAAGCATCTTTTATTTCTTTTTTAACGCTTTCAATTTTCCTCTGACACGTATTCATGATTAATTTGCAAATTCTTTTTGATTGAATTAATTGATTGACCTCAGATCGGTTTGCACATGGCCACAGGCTAATGCAAACTTAGCTATAGACGAATCGGCGTACGCGTTGTATTGTTTTGATTTTATAAACATAAATGGTCGTTTACTTTAAGAATTTAGCCCAGCATTTTGAAGCGTTACGAAAGATAGGTTATATCCTTAGACGGCTAGCAAGGAAGCACAAGCATTAGGTTTTCAAGGAATTAAAGGTATTAGTCTAACAAGGAGGTGTAAGCATTGGGTTTTCATGACAGTACAAGCATTAGGCCTGCAACAAAATACAAGTACATTTTCTGAATCCTAATTCCCGTATTTCCTGATTCGACATTTAAAACCATTCTGCAATTATACTGTCATGGTTTTTTTTGCAAATTACAAGCAGTAATTACTCAAAAACTAAAACTCATTTCCTGTTGTGTCAGTTGTTTCGTATGAACTTACCAATTAAGGAAAAATTCACGTTTTTTCGACATAAGAATATAAATACATTTTAAGGATGCACTGTAAGAAATTTGTGCATATCAAATTGAACTATTGAATATCTAAACTATCTCCGTAAAATAACCGTTTTGTTGCGCGCATGCGTAAACAATATATTACTCGTCAGATTTCGCGGAAAACAAATATGTGGTTGTTATTTCAAACAAAACATTTTGGCTTGTTGCTGACAAGCAGATGTTCACCGATTCTGAAAACAATATCACTGAACACAACGTTTTGAAGAAATACAAGTAGAAAGAATTTTGTCAGCGTGCAGTTATTTAGTGTTGCGTACGAGCTAATCAAAATGCAATAAGAGTTTTTCTCGTATTAGGATTGGCGAAGGGCGTGCGTGTTGGAGTCTCGGAAACGTAAACACATCGCTTGGCAATCAGGAGATAGCTCTTGAATACGCGACTCGACATCTTGAAATATCTAAAGAGGTGAGTTCATTCCGAGTTCATTTATACTCGGTATCAATACGGTGCAAATATCACTTTACAATGCGAATCGCTGTTTTCATATTGTTTTTAGAATTTAGCAAATTTAAATACTGCTTTGAAAGCATATTAGCTATTGTAAAAATGACATCTTGGCAGTTTTTAAAAGAACTGAAGAATACCAATAATTGAGGTGAATTAAATGTTTTCAAGGATTATGTCCCCAACTTATCTCTGTTTTAAACGTATTTCGCCTCGCCGCTCTTTTATCTTCACTATGAATTTAAGCAGATTTTTAGTTATCATCAAAGCAGACGTGGCACTTGATCAGAAGTCTGCCAATATGCATCGTGTCATTTAATTTATGTTATAATTCTTGGTTTTCAACAGTGCTTTTGGAAACACCAAGTTGTCATTTACCGAGATAAATACGCTCTTCGAGGCAACATTAAACTTTCTGACCACAACCAAGTCACACTTGGTGAGTGGAGCTTTAAAACGACCTCACAATTATTAGTGATGGGCGATACTATCGAAGAGTATCGAAGTGTATCGATATTTTCAAAAGTATCAATACTTTCGATACTGAGCCTGCAATATTTTGCTGTGCCATTTTTATCAAGTCGAGTACTTTGTGACATATGTCCATAATGCACACACAAAGTTGCCATGTGTTCAATAGTAATACATCAAGACATGTGACAACTTTTTATGGATTATGGAATATGTATGAAGGTTTGTGCTGATTTTAGTAATTTGATATTAATAATTGGTTGTTGTTTCCTCTGTTTTAAAAGTGTTAATGAGTTCAAAAATTACAAGTATCGGTATCGACCAAATTTTATGGTATCGTATTGGTATTGTATCGAAAGAAAAAACCTGGTATCGCCCATCACTAACAATTATTCGTACACACAACTTTTAAGGCTATCTTCCACCACTCATTATGCAGAATTTTCAGCGCGTAATGCTGATAACGCACGTGATTAGTAGATGATGTCGTCATTAATTTTTGACTACCAATCACGTCGCAAATTTGACTTTGCGTGCAGAAAATTCCGCCTAGTTGAAAGTCGACCTTTCTCCACCGATTGCTTGAGACCGTGATTTCTATATCGCACTCAGTGAATAGTGCGAACTTTGAGAATACGAAAACCATGACCAACCGACAATTTAAAAAAAGATAGTATAAAACAAATTCCGAAAAAACAAGACATCTTGAGATTGCAAAATATGAATCAAAACAAGACGAGAAGTGAACTGTTTTTAAGAATACGGGTATTTGTTTTACAATTTGCTTAATGTACTAAGGCGAGGCTTTATCTCCTCGATGTCATTTAGACTCTCGTATGGTTGTCAATATGTTTAATGCGCACCTGCTTACGAACTCGGACATGATGTTGATGAATATTATTTTCAATTGCGAGCCTCGCAATGTCTCCAGTTTTCTACCATCGTATTTCACGAGCCCGTCATATTTATCGTGTGTTTTGGAACGCAGTGTTTTTTCCGGGAAATGTTTTGTTATTTTTGAGGCGTGATCCATTGAACTTCCTGTTATAGGCTATGTAGCAACATGATTTAGTCGTATTTTTCTCACCGTACTCTGGTAATATACTTGTGTGCATATGCTTGACAATAATTACATGCAACGGAATAAAAAATTCTACCATGTCTATCCGCATGCGCAGATTGTACGCGGTTGTACTAAGTACGTCGCGACGAAAACTGGTTTTCATTTAAAATATACTTTGGTCCGTATTATCATCTCGAAGTCATTAATTCGTAAGTTGGCGCTCGTCGATGTTTTCTACACTCTTCACCACCCGTGTAAGGTAGGAAACGAACTTTCTCATTAAGTTCCTAGGAAAAATAGCTGTAGTCGAGTAAATATATCAGACATCGAATCCATCTTCTTGAATGACGAGTACATTCAACGCGAATCTTGATGTATTAAGAATAAGAATGTAAATTTAACAACAGCAATATTTATATTTAGAACAGTAAGAACAATTAGAACAAGAATGATGAGTTTAATAGCGGTCAAAATTGTCATTACCTATAAACATAATTGTAATTATATTAATATTACGGCAAGTGTGATTATTTACTCAACCTCCTCCACCATTATCAAAATATTTTCACAGCACATGCAGGAAAACCGCCACTGGAAAAGGAAAACTATTCGTTAAATTTGAAAATACTATCGTTCCGAAATTAATCACCCACGATTTTCGAAGCGTTTGTAACGATTTCGTAGATTTTGACATCATTGAAGTATTTGCCTGTCAAAGATCGCTCGATTGACTTCAAAAGTGTCCAAAAGAAATTGTTCGCTAAAAATTAGTATCTCGCGTCGTAAACGTGTAATTAATCTCGGCTTTTAGATACACACATATGGTACATTTGTTTCAACATTTTGCTAATATTTTCCGGCATGTCAAGGTCAAGTCCTCTGTAGCTGCTTTAACACATGCAAAAGTTTGGTATGATCTATGGTGATAGAACCGGGATGATCTTTTGTTTTTATGTTCTTCAGAGAGAACATAATACTGTTCTGCATGACCTAACTGGAGTACAATATGACGGCTTATGTCCTGAAAATTCTGTCGCCAGAATTTCTTGATATACACGACCATTACTATCAGTTTCGAAAGGGGCCGTAGCAGATTTTTATTTTAAACACGAAAAGTAGTCTGTGAGGTAGCCTACCGCCTATTTAGTCATACCATGCAAAAGCAACGGATTTTTTTTTAGAAAGTGATGAGTAATCAATACGAGTATGACAGCCTAACGTTTCACTTTATAAAGAGGTATTATAAAGAATCGTGGGAAGAGGTTTTTGAGATGACGTCTTTCGTTTTAAAATAACCCGATTTACAACAATTTTTCGGAATGGCTTTATTAAAAGTTGCAATGTGTTGGTCTCCCGTGTTCGTATCGAGAATTCGTTCTCCGCATGGAAAATCTTTGACTACGAAAACTAATAATGATATGAAGCTCAACAGCTCGACTGAACTATGGCGGGCTATTTCACGCGATTTATTTCATAATTGGTTTTGCGTTTTGAAAGTCCGCGGTAATAAACAGTATTCGGTGACCTTTTGCAATCTCAAATTTCGTTTAATTTAAGTTTTTCCGTGAAACAATATTGGCATTCCTTTGTCTCTAGAACATGCTGCTTTTAATCTAGACTGCGCAACAGGATTAGAAGCTCTTCTTCGTGGGATGTGCAGGACTTAACAGCGCGCATCGTTTAACACTTACATAATTCCTAACCCACACGACGCTGCAACGTTTCAGGGCATTAAGATGAAAGCGTGAGCTGTTAAGATAATCACAGATTAGTCATAATACATTACCGGATGTCATTTATAGCATTTCAAACGAAAACAATTTGAAAAGTATTTTTGTTTCCGATAGTACTTGAAAGCTGATACAATATACGTCTCCCAATTTCCGATTTCATTAATCTCACCGATTATTACACTTTCTGTTTGTTGTTCTTGTCTCACAATTGACGAACGGTTTTCATTCACTGTGCATTACGAAACTTCAACTTTGAAAATCTCTCGCGTGTCGTGCGCGTTTCGAGGATAAAATGACACCCGGCGTTATCGAGACAAAGTACGTAGAAGACTGATTGTTTTTAGACTTTCGAGTTCATTGGTAAAGATAACGAGCGAGTGAGCAAAAATCGTATTTTTTTTCAATCATAAATAAGAGCGTGTTTAAATAGTAGAAATTCATTGTTTAGAGGGTCGAACCTGTTTTTGGCCTCCTGCTGTTTTCACCGGCTGTATATAAATGGGGTAAAACTTCTCAGAAAAAACACAACAATTCACGAGAAACAGTGCTTGGATTTGATTTAAACGACCGGTTGCATTCTTTCCATTTTATCAAAACGATCTGTAGTTGAAATACGTGTTCCTAGCTGCGCTTTTCTTTTCGATTCGATGGTCTGATTGACTGGTTTTTCTTGAATTAGAGGCATTTCTACATGAAGTATTATCGCGTGTAATCTACTGTCTGCGTTGGGTTCGGACTACACTAATATGTTTACGAATTTGGGTTCTTTATCGATATCCCGAAATATTGGCGAACACACGGAGCTATTATGAATTATTTGGTTTGAGTTAATATTTTCTTTGCCTATAAAAATGAAATAACTCATGATATTTTTAACGCATCCGATCGTCGATGTAACCGAAAGACGACTTGCCCTTGTCTCGTAACGATTTCAAAAAGATTCCTGATGCAAATGACGTAAAAAAGCTACATATGATTAAGCATTTGAAATAAACGTTTATTTGTCGTTTATTTCAAATATTTAATAAATCTCGCGCTTCCGAGATCATATGGAAGTATAATTCACAACATATGATTACTATTGTTAAAATTTCATTGCGATACTTTCACCAAAATGCATCACATAGTCTATGTAATTGTCCAACCAGCTTCGTTCGTGTTGATTTATCGTCGTGAATTTATTTGCTTTCCTAAGATTCGAAACAAGATTCTCTTGCATCTACTGTTTTTTGAAACTCGTCCCATGTTGTGTATCAGCTTAGTGATTTAAGAAGCTTTTATCATGCAAGACTCATTCTTTATCCCACAAACACTTGTCCCGAACCACTTTGTTCCACGAGGTCTTTACGCGACACGCGCGCGCCATAATATCTTGTCATTGAATAACATTAGGGTCGAACGCTGCTCACATACCCGTATGCTTGTCGTGTCAGTATATTTGTTTATCTAAAAGACGTTTTGTGTGTAGGTTGGAGATCGTGCTGGCCAAATTACGGCACAGATGAACATAGCGGACCTGAAGACTTTGCTAAATTCGCACGAACAGCAAGCTTTTGACAGGTACGTCGCCGTCATCTGGCGTCTTGAAATCGTTGATGTGTTATTGCATATTGCGTGCTATCGCCGGCTACGAGCGACTTTATCTGTTCGAATCTGTACGTGTTCGGTGTTTGGTATCTGAATTGATTTGTGTGCTGTGTACGAGCGAATGGAAATTAAATTCGTCTTCGTTTACGAAAACATCGAATTTGAAATGCGGCCATAGTGTTGTCTGTTATAAAAGTTTCTTTGTTAGTCCACTTTTTATATGCACAGTCGCATTTTTTACATTTTGAGCTGTTGCTACGCGCGTATTGGCTTGATTTTAAGGAGCAAGCCCACTTAACGATTATATATGGAAATAGTTAAGAAAAACATTCAACGCGAAGACGTGGCAACTTTTGCTGGCTTTTTCGTATAATATACTTTGACCGTTCCCAATGGTTCCCAATTACTGTGGTATATGTTCAAAATATTTGTTGAACGTTTCTCTGGTAGTCCCTTGTGAACTTTAGGATTTCATACGTTTTTTCTCGTGCTGTATCATCACAAAACTTACGGTAGGAACAGCGTTATTTCGTACGTATAAGTCGAAGCTTTATATATTCGATACTATCAGTTAAACTCAGTGAAGTGTTGTGTAACATATATGCGCTTTTGTGACTCTCATAGATGATTTCGTTGCTATTCTTTCGAAGCGTGTTTTTTGCGATAGTTTTGTTTTGAAGTGAAACCAGTGAACCCAAACGGTGAACGCGCAAAGTTGCTCATTTTCGTAACGCTCACACGCGGAAAACATGCCGTGCACCCTTGATGCTCGATTTGACCTTTTAGTGTAAGGGAAATTGTTTTTCTGCTGCTGCTGCAATGAAGCGTTATTGCTACGATAACCTTATACACGCGAAATATGTGCAAAACACGCAGGCGGTCTTTTCAATTAAGAAGAAACACAAAATGACATTGCGTTCGCAGCTTTTTGCATTCTTTTGTAACACTGCAACAACTTTGATGCTCGACGTAATTTTAAATGCGGTAATTTTTTGTGTCAAAGTGCTACCTGCTTGTGATTTCCCATGTCCCGTTATTTCCCAAATTAATCGATTATTATGCGATAAAGTTTATTCACGTATGTATTTAGCCATTTGGTCGCCAATGTATCTGTTGATATTTGAGGTAATGACAATATACCGCTATAGGCTATATGATCACCTTCTGTGTGGTGTAATTTGCGATTGTATTATCTAATCGGTTGTCGTGTTCTCTGTTTGTATTTCCGGCTGTGATATTCACTTGTTTGGACTTTGTTTTGTCGACATAGTTGCTAGACATTTGATTTCTATTTTGATGATTTATCAACATTTTGCGCATGTCAGTGTGAATGCACGATGCGCGATTGTTGGAGAAGCGATATGAAATAGAAAATGGACAAATTGTACGTGTTTCCATCAGTTGAAATGGTTGGGGGGAAATTCAATGCTACAAAGTAAAAACCGTCACGGATAAGCGGCACCATCCAGTCCGCGAAGATTATTGGACTACTTCACTGTTAGTGAATCATCACGTAGAATCAGTGCATGCGCGAGCTCGCGATTCTTATTTGTATATGGTCAGCGGCCATTTCAACTGAGTCTCCAACTCCCAACAGTACAATGAATCATCTCAATGAAGAAAATAGAAAACATTTACATACTTCTAAAATGTTCAATGCTTGGTCAGTAGAAGAAGTAGGATCCGGCTGAAATGAATATTTAAATGTAAACGAATTTGATCAATTAATTTGAGTCACGTCTGACCGATGTGAGATTGGGTCATAACCTATATCTAACCGCTCATCTAATTTAACACATTCATTATTTATTATGCGTTGGGCTTAAAATAATCTCTTTAGCGCGTATAAATGAATGGTCAGGTGGAAATTTTGAATTTTGCGTAAGATGATACCATCTATATTGTTAAAATAGTGATGATGAAAGCATGCTCATCGGCAATCCATTTTGTTTGTCAACACTACGTAGGATCATGTTCGTGGGAACCTCCGTCTATAGAGCTAATCTCATATCCTTGTTTTGAGGAGGTGAAAAGGATTTTGTGAATTTTGCCTATTTTATCTTGTCATCATTGCACGTTATAATACTCCTGTCGTTTAACTGTTTAACGGGAAAATTATTAAAGCAATAGATGGACAGGCTGCTGCCTGTACGGAGGAATTCCGTCATTTATTATGTGAACGTTCGGTCTCTTAACGATCATAAAGTGAATTATTTTTGCTTCTTTGTTTTGAACAGGAGAAGCGTTTCATTCACATCTGGAGAGACGTCAAGCTCCAGTGATTCAACGACACATCAAAAAGGTTTGTGAACAATGCCGTCTTTGTGGTCAAAGGAAATTTGGTCTCCCTATCCCCTCCCTTCCATTGCAAGGTTTTCATGCATACACAGTGTGTTTGTCGATGAACACATTCCATCACATATATATGCTTTCATCTCCCGCCTTATGAGTTACCATAAATACTAAACCTTTATATGCCACTTGCTTTGTCCACTCCCAAAAGGCACGCACTCCCCTCTCCTCAAAAGGCATGCATTCTCCTTACCCAAAAGGCTTGCAATCCCTCCCAAAAGGCATGCACTCCCTTCCCCTCAAAAGTCAGGCCTTCTCCTTACCTAAAAGGTATGCAATCCCTCCGAAAAGAATGCACTCCCCTCCCCTCAAAATTCATGCATTCTCCTTACCTAAAAGGCATGCACTCCCCTCCCCTCAAAATTCATGCATTCTCCTTACCTAAAAGGTATGCAATCCCTCCCAAAGGCACGCACTCCCCTCCCCTCAAAAGGCATGCATTCTCCTTACCCAAAAGGCATGCAATCCCTCCCAAAATGTATGCATCTTTTACCCCAAAACACATGCACTCCCCTCCATGATGCGATGCTTTTTATTCGTATATAAAATACTCTATCAAATTTCAGAGTTCGACATCAATAAGATCATAACATGTGCATTCTTTTAGCATATTTTAAGTATTTTCTTTTATATATTTAACTGGTGGAGTGGATAAATGGCACATTCACTAACTAGAATCAAAAGCATTCAATCAAGAACAATGTGATATGAAGCTCTTAAGCTATTTTGATACAGCTTATATTCAATGACCTAGAACCCAATCTATTAGATATCTGACTCGGCCGAAATTGTATAGTAACGAGTGAGGCAAGCTGCCATCTTGAAAGGCGGCAAAACTGACTGTATTTATGATTATTATCTGCTTTTCCTGAGTTGATATGATGTCACAAAGTTGATAGTCTAGGTTTAATGCTTGAAATGTTTGATAGGATGAGTTTTTTAAACTTTTTTTAACTTATTTTTCATTTTGAGTTTTGCTTTTTGCCACCTTTCAAGATGGCGTCACCTTGACACGGTAGTTAGACATTTAGAGAATTGGATTCGAAATCATTGCTTCTATTTCATTCGTTTCAAGTAAAACAATGGATGAACTCAGCAAATAATGCTCTGAAGAATTGGCTCTAAAATGTGCGAGCTGGTTTATTTGTCTAACTATAGTCCATTATTATTCTATTATATTTGTTTTGACAAATACTCTCTGTTGATTATAAACATCATTTGGGGGACAGATATAGATGATATTGATAAATAATTTTGTTCTCCTCCAATAACTTTGAATTAAAATTGCCAAAAAATTAATAAGGAATTGAATAACTACTGCGTCGAACGTTTGACAACGGATTTGCGTTGGTGCTCTAGGTAATGGAATATGCGTACTTATTGTATTCATAATTTCATAAAAGCAGTATATATATTAAGCATTTCAAGTGTACGACAACTTTCTTTAAGGGAAACAATTTCAATTTTCACTTTCGATTTTCAGTTTCATTTCAGTTCTACGTTGAAATCCATTTCTTCCGCTCAATGCGTTTTCTTTAATGCTGTATGTTTCCTTTCATGCGCCTTGTTTTTCAAGTTGCGTCAAGACAGAGCAATTGCCAAATGTATGATTTGGGGAAACATTGATAAGCTAACTGATGCTGATTTGTCAGTTGCATATGCATGGCGTAAGGCATGATTTAGAAATCGTGTCATTGATCATTCATTCTTAAAAATTTCACCCCGTACAAATAGCTGTTCCTGGACATCGAGTATTCAATGGCTAACTTAAAACGACGCTTTTGTTTTTTTGCAGAAAACAAGCCGAGACATCTGAAAAGCGATTCGAAAACAGCCGAGGTATGTGGGGGTTTTTTAGTTTTAGTCGTTTAAAATTGAGGATGTTGATTGAACCACCACGTCAGATTGATCACACAAAATTTTGTTGAAGAATGGTATTAATACAGAAATGACGAGTTAACGGCGTTACTTGCTATAGTCAATATCTTGTTGAGTGTGCTCAACTTAGGCATTCCGACAGTACTCCTTCGTAAATATCTTGGCCAGTAAAGTTTAACTCACTGCGAAAGAGAATTAAAAGTTTGAGAACTTCAATGCAGTGATTGGTGTTCAACTACCCGCGTATTTTACATATGTCGTTTCATGTAAAAAAATCGCCCGTAGAATCGGGCTTCTACGACGGCCTGACCTTTTTCGGGCGCACAGACCTGGTGATTTTCTTTGATTTTTTAATGACGCGATTTTTTTAATAATTTAAACTAAAATTCGACTGCGTTGTGGTTAACGCATCGGGCTGTTTTGTAATATTAATCGCGAAAAACATTGATGCACACACGAAAAGCATGGGTGCAAACACGAAAAACATCTTTTATTTCTTTTATAAAATTACAATAACACGAAACAGATAAATTTATTTTCCCTCCAACCATGCATTCATGATTGATTTTCGAATTTCTCTTTGATTGATTTGACAGGCTAATACAAACTTAGAACAATCAGCGCATGCGTTTTATTGTTTTTGCTTTATAATGATGTATAAGATTTCGATTATTTAACCTAAAAACGTTAGATTGATATTTACATGGACCATGAAAAACGTGCATACGACAGTAGCGTAGCCTGATGGATAATTGGAGGGGGGGAGTGGACGATATTCATATTTACGTATGTTCTGCCATGTTAGGGTTTTATGAAATCCATCGTTTTCTGCGGAATATAAAATGAATAAATGAATATTGCCCTAGCCCAAATATTATATGCTAGCTACGCCACTGGTATACGATAGAGTATTTGATGCGTTTTCAATTACATCAAGTCAATTTTTTCGTCATTACCATCGTAGGTGCCGGTCGTTACTCGTAGATCAAAATCGACAACAGACCCTTCTCAAGTGCTTGTAGAAATGCCTACGAACGTCAATCAGGTTTGTTGTATATGCATATATATACACACTGTTCTGTCGCTTATATCTCTTTGTGTAACTTATTTAAGAAATAGAAGATGTTCAATATGTATACACAGTCTCATGAAAACCGAGGAGATCTTTTGGGAGAACTCGAGTGCAGATCAGTGCAAGCCCGAGACCGAAGGTCGAGGGTTGCACCTGCTCGAGAGTTCTCACAAACTTCTCTGAGGTTTGCATAAGCCAGTGCAAACACGAAAAACATCTTCATTACTTTTATAGAATAATAATATATAGCGAAACAGACAAATTGAAAACAACAGTTTCAATTTTTCTTTGAACACGTATTCATGATTGATTTGTAAATGCTCTTTGATTGAATGATCGATCGATTCAATTGGTTGGGCTCAGATTGTTTTGCACAGGCTAACGCTAACACAGCTCTAGACCAATCAGCGCACGCGTTTCGTTGTTTTTTTTGTTTCAGTATTGAGCACTTTTGCTCTGCAGGGGCCGGTTACACGAAGACTGGATAGCGTTATCCATTGGATAGTAAAATTTTCAAACTTGTAGAAAAGGTGTTTATATTTTCCTTACGACATAGAAATTGTTGTAATCTTGGAAGCAATATTTTCTTTTAGTGAATGCTCATTTTAAATCCTATATTTTCTCTTTTAAGAGATTTTTTAAATGTTCAAAAAAATTTGCTATTCAGTGGATCGCGCTTTTCCGTGTTCGTGCAACCGGCCATGAAAAGAAAAATCGTTTACGGTGTAGATAACGCGCAGTGAAGTTACCACCGTGAACATGGGCAGAGAGAGGGAGATATTGCTCGATTTTTGTTTTTTGTTTAACAGAAGTGAGTTAGTGTACAGAGAATGATTTAATGATCGGACTTTATGCAACATAGCTATGAAATGGCACGAACAGTTACACAGATGTATCTTTATTAATGTTACATTACTCAACGACATTCTCTACTCGGTATGCACAGGTATTTCACAACCAGGCACAAAAGACGGTCGGATATTGTTCCCTTAATTTATTCATCAATCAATGGAAATTTCGCTTCAATACAATTCATTTTTTCTTCTTTCCTACATTTCACTTCTCTTGTATAAATCGTTCAAAAACAAGCACTTCGCTGTCATTTTCAGCACGTTTATCGTTGATTTTTCTACTCTGCATTATTCCACATTACTTTCAAGTGCTTTTGCGTCGCTTTCTTTTCTGTTCGTTTTGAGTGACGTAACGTCTACATTCAATGATCGCATTGCAGAAATTCCAACCCTCTCGATTTGATCTCTGGACTCTTAACTTTCCAGATATTACGTTCAAACGTCTGGCATCGATGTCTTTCAGGCACTCGTTGAGATCTTGAATCGTGGGATCAAAAAACGACGCAGGAACTTTTTGACAAATTTCATGGCTTCATATCTTACTACATTTTCATATCTTACTAATTTTTCCTGGTTTCATTCATGAAGTTTCTTAATGCTGATCCTTTGCGAGGTTGGACGGCATGTTGCAACGTTGGTCATCCATTCTTTTGGACTGATAGAAAATTATCCTTTCGAAGAGTCGATTCTCGTCTGCTTTTTTAATAACTTCGCTATCACATCTTTGATCGTTGAGACGATGTTGCTGTAGGGAAAAATATATTTTCTGTTAGCAAAAAATGTAATTAAATTTTATAAAGCGCATAATAACGCATTACCTCTACGATTATTTATGCATTGCATATATAGCCTTAGATGTAGTCTAAAAATTTCGATCATTGACTTAGCCGTCATATTCAAGACGCAGATTCAAGACGAAAATAGCAAACATCACACAAGCATTGCACCAGTTTCTTCCATTTGCATTTATTGTAATAATTTCAACGGAACTGGTATGCACATACACAGGATGAAATTATATACTAACTTGTGATTTTTGAATAAGCGCAAACATTTCTTTTGCGTTTTTTTCATTTGTGTGAAAAAAATCAACTTTGCTCAGGACGCGATTTGCAATCGATACCAGAATTGATTTCGTTGAAGTGACATCTCTCGCATATTGGTAAGGTTTTCCCATTTCTTCGCTTTACAAAAACTGTCACAGCTTCTCGTGAATTGAAAGAAGATGTGAATACATCATGCTTTTATACAAAGTACTCACGTGTAAAATCGCGAACAGTTCATTATTATTTGTTTGCAAGTGCGAAGAATGTTTTTGACTTATTGTGATTTGGTGTGGTTGATGATAACACGAATGATGTTATAGAGGTTTTCATATGCATGTGAGCCAAACACGTGAATATATCTCACAAATTGCTTATGCCATCGTAATATACGTGCTTTTTATCCGAAAGCCCGACTCGTGCAAAATACTCCTGTAGAAAATCTTGGTTCAAGATTTTTTGCTCAGATGGGAGTTGAAATCTTGTCTTAGCCAAATTCTTTTTAATGTGTTTAAAATGCGGTCAGAATTGATTCTGGGAATTCATAAATGATAAGAGACTGTTCGAATACTTTTAATTCAGCATTGTGTATGCAGCTGTTGTCTATTTGCTATTTTTTTAATGAATTTTGGGAAATGCTTACGACTTTAATTCATTTTTCCATTCATTTTGACGTACTTAGCTACTTTTGCAATTGAACAATTAGCTTAGCCGTTATTTAAATCATTAAATGAGTTGAAAATTTCGTTGACTTGACGAAAATAGATTAACTGTAAATTAACATTGTATCAGGTCTTTTGTCGCCATAGCAACATTGTTTGCCTTCGGTCAAAAGTCAAAACAATAAAATGTATCACCCAATACACATAGCTACTTGTACAAATTTTGTTACATTTCATGTTGCCCAATAATTGAAAGAGCTGCGTAGGTTTTTTTTATCGTAGAAGATCTCTTAAGCTTGTATAAATACGTGCTGTCTTCGTTTCAATTTAAAAAACGTTTCAAAATCACGTTACGAAATATGTTACATCATTAGCGAACGATTATTCAATCAAAAAAGCAGATGCGATGCCAAATGCATACACGATGCCAAACGATGTTGCTATTTTCGGGAAGACAAAACAAGAGATAATTGACAAACTTTGTTCTTTTTCATGGATGTACAGCGTTGATAATTGTTAAAATTTGTTCTTTTTTATGCATGTGCAGCTTTGATAATTGTTAAACTTTTTCGTGTTGTGTAAATGACGAACAAAGACGAGGCGTTTTTGCTTTAAAAAAGGTTTTGTCGCGAAATATTTTGCATTCACTGCGTTTTTTCTTCTCGCATTTCATTTCGTTGCATGGTTTTGTAACATAAACCTTTTCAAATGACCCTTTCACGGAATTAAAAGAAATGCGGAAATGCCTAATTTAAAAATTCAAAAGTTACGTATAATTATCAGTCGTATAGATGAGTCGCTGTCTGCGAGATAGAGAGCCGAATACTGTCTACATGCAGGAAGTTATGTAAGATCATATATGCATACTACTGCTGATTAATTTCTGAAACTGTTACATAACATCTCTATAGTTATACTCTAAAGGAGTGCGTACACGGCATAAGTAAAATAGCTTGTACTGTTTAATCATGCATACAACGCTGACGAAAATACCTCAATTTTTCTAATGACATCGACTGTCTGTCACCCTGATTTCTTGCTTGCTATATGTTTTTCAAAGGTGTTGATGCATGATCAGCTAATGACTTAGCTTCACGTCGTTCGTTACTGAAAATAACGTATAAAATTTAAATAAAAGTGCACATCTGACTGGACATTTAAAAAATGTTTTGCAGTCAACCTTTACCTTTAGCATTGTTGAATACAAAGTTAGGGTAAAGGAGTGCGGAGACCGTTTTCGTAGTGCCGTGTTGCAAAATTTAGCTGCACCTTTTTGTCGCATCCCGCAATGCGAAGCTTGAGTTTAAATTTAAGCAGTGAAATGCTTTGAAATCTTAATAGTATATGACAAGTGTACAGCAACACATTCCCTTTCAATTGCCAGATATGATAAATATGTGTGAAAAAGCTGCTAAAGACTTTAATATTTTTTATATAGACGAGCAGCGTACATGTCCTTGATGACAACTTTTTCGAACTTCTTTCGCGGTGTCAAGGCAACCGTATGGAAGAGCAACGCGCCGAGATGCCGAATTCCAAAAACAAGAATGGAGGTTTGTATTACAAATTTGGGTCGTGAAACATCCCGACTATATTTCTATGTCTGAGAACGACAAAGGCGCATTCACCTAACTTCGTCGGCAATTGATCGGCATTCAACCAATCGCAACTTTTCCTGAGTTTGTCAGCTAAAAGCTTCGTGTGCTGCGAGCGAGTTAAAACAGACATATCTATGATATTATTAATTGTATTGTCCGTCATATCCTCAATTGTCTATAAACTAGCTATTTCTTTACATTTAGCTAAGATTTTTGGTGGGATCTTTCGAGTGCATTGAAAATTCAATCGTTAGAATTTACACAGCCGACGTAAACGATTATGTGGACGTTTCGTCATTTACTTCGCCCGCCCCCCCCCTCCTGCTCCTTTCGATTGTTTCATCGATAATATCGGATGACTCAATCTTGCGTAACTTAAGATTTTGGCATGATTTTTTCCTTAGCCTTCTCCTCCCCTACTCCGTTATTTTATTTTCCACAGCTGCCATTGCTGACTGTTATAGAGATTTTATCGAATGATCGAACCTTACGTAACTTAGGGTTTTGATACAATTTTTCCTTTGCCGCTTTTAAAACTATGTTTCTACATTTTTCTCTGCTGTTACAGCTGCGTTTGACTATTTTTGACATCATGTCCCATGACTGAATCGTACCTATAACTTAATTGCTTAATGCGGAATTGAATTTAGTGCTAGGGAGAGGATCGCTAGAAACTCAGGTTTCTTTGAGATATAATAATAATAATAATAGCTAATCTTTATTGAGGATGCCAACATCACTAAAAAGTGGTTTACAGAGGGGTCCTCTAAAATATGTTACGTCACTTAGAATATGGGGAAGTTTGTCGGTGAAATTCTTTGCTGGGGAGGGGATCGCTTGAAACTCAGGTTTCTATGAGATATGTTACGTCACTAAGAATATGGGGAAGTTTGTCGGTGAAATTCTTTGCTGGGGAGGGGATCGTGATTTGTGCCGGAAACATTTGTCTCCGACACTACAGTTTCAAAATAAGGATGACTGATGCAAGCATTAATGGGATATCGATTCATATGTATATATACATAGGCTGAAACTTGTTGTGCGATACAGATGTTTTACTGGTATATTGTAATATTTTTATAACATCATGCAAACCACAGTGAGGAAGAGTTTGAGTCTTGCAATGGAATAATTTCCACAGATGCTTATATATGTTTACATCACAGACCTTGTATGTGGATCATTGAACATGCGACTATCTAATTTAACAATATGCACTTTCATCTGACATCTGCTTTCTGTTCAATTCGACTAAATTTAGCATGTACGCAACGTGTTGGTGGGAACCATAGAGGCTAAAAGTTGTGCTTAATGAAATCCATATGTGCACGAATGTTCGCACGAATTTATTTTAACATTTTGATTGCGTCTTTCGATATCGACTCAACCCGTGGGAACGTTAAAATGTATTGGCGGCGGGGATTCTAGCGCCGCGTTTCTTGTCGAACGTGTCGTTTATCTGCAGAATTTTTGTTTTCAGTACGTACGAATAAGTTAAGAAGAAGCATTAAGGGTCGAAAGGTGAATTCGATGACGCAAGAAGAAATGTTTGATATGATCGTCAAATCACAGGTATGATCATCACAGGGCAAAAGTATGAAAATCAAGTGATAATGAAATTATGAAACGGATTGTTTCTCTCAAGACTGCCCCCACCTATTTAGTCTGATAGGAAAGTCGTCCGTGGAATGTAGACATGTCACTTTTTTATGCCTAAAAATTGCTCAGGTCATACTATGTTTGTAGAAAAATGTTTGGACATTGGCTTCTTGATTTATTAAAATGAAAAGACTTATCAATAAACATGAAAACAGTATAATCTGAAACCCCGAAAATTTCTCCGAATTAACCTGTTTGTACGTCTTCAAACCAACTTTGCTGACTTTCTGGTACTCACTACTCATTGCAAATTGTATCATCACTAGCTTCTTGCAAATATTGACGCCTTATGAGAATGAAGAAACATTACTCGAGTGATCGTAGATTAATTATTTAGTTGTTGCTGCGCGGTCTTGTGTATATTATACATCGAAATTATTATACAGTATCTGTATATGTTGAAATGTCAATGCCATGAAACTTGGTGTATAGGGATAATTATGCGTCCAGCAAGAAAAGTTACTGAGCTCAGTGAGGGCCTTGGGAGACAAGAGCACAACTACCTCACGGCAAACAAGTTTTTGTTGCGTTATCTTTAATGAAAATAAACAGCGAAAAGCACCGCGTTTTATGATGGAATTTGTTTGCATAAGAAATACCATTTTTTCGTTGAAATATTTGATTTCAAATCACTTGAACAATAATTTTTAATGAAATTTCTCTTAAGGAGTCGCGTATCGACGACCAACGATGTGATCCCGATCTTGTGCAACAAGCCCCGACAGTTCCAGACGAGGATTTCTTCGGATTAATCATGCGCCTTCAATCTAATCGTATCGACGAACAGCGGTGTAGTCTACCCGAGAATAGGCGTAATCAGAACATAGCAAAAGACAAGGGGACACAGTCGGAATATCGAAAAGAATCGCAACTGTGATGAAAGAAACGCATGTTCGGACAATTTAGTGAAATGAGCATTTTAACATATGTGTAGTTATGTTTGCGGTACTTATCTTATTGTTCGCTCTAGTGCATTTAATGCATTTATGGATATTACCAACGGAAGAGTTATTTTAATGTGATTTTTACCGAGCGCGGATACTTATTTTAAAGTGCGCGTTCCATGATCTGATGACTGTTCCTTGATAAAGAAAAGCCGGGCGCTGCTCAGACAGCAATCTATCTCACAAAAATTATGTCGGGAAAGCAGGAAAATCTCAGGTCAAAACTACTTTACGACCTTTATTTTACTCTTGCATCGTTCTTTTGAAGGATCATGTCCGTGTACTTTTCTTTAAAACCGAGTTCTTTACTGTCCGTAGATTTCTCCGTAATCCAGGCCAAAAGCAGGCAATTTTAGCGTTCCGTTTTATTTCAATTTATTATCTATAAACATATGTGTATATATTCATTGCTTTTTTGTGTACATAATCTTATACGGGTCAATTCCACTGAACTGTATGGAAATTGCATCACTTCCAGGCTCAGCGTTTCTAGTTTGAATACATTTTATCAGGTATCAATGACATTGTTCTTGTCAGTTCAATATACTTCCTTCTAACGCAAACCTTTTTTTACTTAAACTGGCTAATCCCAAGACAGGTGAAATCAGCAAGCTTATCGTCAATTAAACATTGATTTTTAATATAAAAGTTGTCTTTCGCCCGATGTTGAATACTGGAAGATATGGTGATTTGAAGTAGCGGAGTACATTTGTGTGAGATAGGGAACGAGGGCGGGCAAATGTTTTACATTGATTCAGGGGAGGGGAATGTTTGAAATTCGAAATAGTGTTTACAAAACGGATGACGGGCTACATGCTATATTTCTTTTATATACAAGTTTGTCTGACGATCTGCACAAAAAAGCAGTGGCGTAACACAACTACCGAGGGGGCTCCGTCTATTAGCCATTCGTGTGGTTCTTCTATACGTTTCAATAGAAAATAGGTTGAATAATCGTACATAATACGTTCATATTTCCTCTAGTTACAACTTGTATTCACATAAAGTAATATCACGTATATACATGGGCGTGTCATGCAAAGCTTCCCCGCCCCCATCTTGAGCAGATAAGGGCAGTCGGGCATTATTCACTGGAAAGTCGTAGATAAGGTTGAAAAGATTTAAAATGTACCGACCACCCCTCCTAAAAACATTGGCTCGTACGCCTTTTTATATTTTTAAAAGAGAACCGGGCGAGAAGTAGCTCAGTTTTAAATGTTTGGTAGACTAAAAATTTTAGCAAAAACCTCATATTTTTGCGAGAATAGTACTTTAGCATCCAAAGCACGATTTGAAAGGAAAAACAAACAGAAAATTTAACCAAAAAATAGAAGAAAAGCAGAAACTGAAATTTGAATAGCTTTAGAAGCAATTTGGATTTTATGGGTACTTTATAACAGAGTATGGAAATTTCATGAAGTTTAATTAAAAATAAGTCAACAGAGCTGATGCTTAAATTAAGTTATCTTCTGTTTCAATTCACAGTTTACGTGACATTTCTTCGTGCATTAATTATACCCTGCGAAAAGGATGTGTGCAACATATTGATTTATTGTCTAATTTTATTTCAAACGTAATAAACTATTCTCAATAACCTTTAAACAACCAAATAACCGTATGTATAAGTAATTTGACAAATGCATGTAGCTATCGTGAAATAAAGTTTCCCTTTATTAAATAGTTCACTGTTCTTTCTTTTCTTACAGTTTTTGCATCGCCTTTGTGTATAGCTATCAATTCCATCTTCAGAATGCATTTGACTATTTTTTTTCAACTGTCTCGGTGTAGCCATGTTGTTGTACCTCATTTCTCTCTTTACGGATGATGTACTGAGCGTCTACCTGATATTTGCGTCGATATCGTCAAAGCATTCATTAGTGACATCTCTGGACTCTAGCGGTCAAAATGTGACGAGGCAAACAATTAGCTCTTGCTGTTTATTTCTTCAACAACATTTTATTGCTGATCCTTTGCGAGGTTGGACGGCATGTTGCAACGTTGGTCTTCAATTCTCTTGGACTGATAGAAAATTATCGTTTCAAAGAGTTGATTCTCGTCTGCTTTTTTAATAATTTCAGGATCACATCTTTGATCGTTCAGACGATGTTGCTGTAGGGAAAAATATATTTTCTGTTAGCAAAGTTTGCAAGTGTCTGGCATCGGCTAACGTTTTATAACTTGGGTGCAATACAAAACATTATCTCGACTGTTCAATAATCTCTTATCGTTTGATTTGGACTAGACTTGTGGTATTCTTCACTTACTTGTGATTTTTGAATCAAGGAAAACATTTCTTTTGCGTATTTATTATTTGCGCAGAAAAACCCCATTTTGCTCTGTCGCACAGCTTAACTATAACTCTACTGGAGTATCGGTATAAAGACTTTTCAATCGTTTCTTCTTTTCCAAAGAGTATCGTGGCTTAAAGTGAACTGATGAAAATGTGATTCCCTTGTGCTTTTAAATGTTACCCCCACGTGTATATTAATCAAGTTCATTATATTTGTTTTTAAGTTCGAAGAATGTTTTTCACTTTGTTGTGATTTGGTGTGGTCGATAACACGAATGTTGGGAAAGCTGTTAGCTAGCTACATGTGAGCATCACACGTGAATTCATCTCACGAAAAAACACAATTTACTTTAACACAAAATGGTAAATGTATACGTAGTACAAGGTTTGCCATCGTAAGATGTGGGTATGCTTTTAATCTGAAAGACCAAAGTATAAATTTTCTTACAAAAAACTTGTTTGATTTTTTTGCTCATTCATCAATTAGTGACGACGTCTCAGCGCGTATATACCTTGTGTACAGCAGATGTCTTTTTGTTATTTGATTATTTCATTGGGAATGGGAACTGCTTTTGTCCTAATTTTATTTTCGTATTCGTTTTTCAAAATACGTGATCATTTTAATGGTGTTTGGTAATTGAACAGTTATGACAATTATTAAGTCGGCTTTTAAATCATTAATTGATATGGACAATTAGTTGACTAAATAGAATTTAAAAATTAAACGAGACTTACCTAAGTTGAAGTTTGATTGTAATTCTATGAGTTATTGGACACCCAATAATGCCTTAAAGAACATCTTTGGCTTCCCACCCAGACAAATGTGGTCTTTTGCAATCACTCGCAACGATAAAGAATGAGCACTCGATCTGCGTGCGCATATCTCCTTAGTTTCCTTGTCCAATAACTCATGGAATTACAATCAAACTTCAACTTAGGTAAGTCTCGTTTGATTTTTAAATTTTGTCTCAGTGGGTGTATGAATAGATTGTTTTCGTAGAGTATTGTGTTTCTAAGAGCATAACGTAATTTCAAATACTGGAACTCTTTTTTTTCACAGATTTAAACCTAAAACTACTCAATTTTCCGTTTATTCACGCGTCCCCGATGATGTTTACGTTGACACTGAAACTGCTCGTGTTTTTCACAAGTATTTTCATTTGTTTTGCGTTACATGTTTGCACATGTTGTCTAAATGACAAACAACGATGGGCACTTTACATTTTGCGATAAAAAGTGGTTAAGTATCAAGACCCCCAGCGCTTTTTACGTTCAATTTTGCTGCATAATAGTTCCTTGAAATGAAACTGGAAACAATAGTGGATATTTCCTATGAACTTTTCACCCTCTTATTGCAGAGAAAATTCCTTGAACAAGAAGGAATAAATTGGTATTTTAGTAAAGTACATCTGTTTACGTGCTCAAAATTCACATCTATAATTGTATGCACGATAGTAGATAACTCGATGTCTGCGAGGTCGACCGCTGTATTACGTAGTCGGAGTTGCATAATAGCGATATTTAAACAAACATATCGAAGACGTCGAAAAAGCGACGTGTATGCCAATGTGTGGGTAAATGCACGCCATTTTTACATTCTTTTTCACTGCGTCTTTTAGACGATATGTGGTGTTTGGCAAACTTCTCTATTAACATCTTACTTGATGTGGCTGACAATACATGTATCATTACATATTAGTGTTACACAGAAGCATGTTACATAACTTGAAATAGCTGACAGAACTTAATTAGGTTTATAACAATGAAGGAACTCCTCTGTTTAAATTAACATGCGCACTCGGATTTTGTCGTCCTCTTTGCGTTTGAATTCTATTTTGTATTTTCGATAACTTTTTCAAATGGCGCATATTCCACGCATTGTGTGTGTTTAGTTTATGAACTTCAATCGCCTGACTTGACTTTTATGCGATATGAAAAAATAGTTGTGTTTTTTTGTAAAACCCACATCATCAATATTGTGGCATAAGCTGACTGGGATATTTCATGAGCTTCTGTTAAAACAAAGTATACTTTCAAAAGAAATCAGTCGGACTGAACTATTCAACCACCTCACCCCCACCGCACCTACAAATCCACCGCTTTGTACATCAACTTTCTTTAGCTCGTAAAGTAGAAGAAAAGTCTCTTTATATAAAATCATTTGACAACTATGAAGTTTTGTTGTAAAATAATTTCAAGCATTGTTTTCTGTTGATTGTCTCAATTTTCTCATGTTAAGGTGTTAAATTTAATTTGGGTTTTTATTTTACGTGGAGACAAACAAATTGGCAGCTGCTGCTGTTAAGTGGTCAACCCAAAATAAGTTACTATCTATTCATCTATCTGTGATGGAAGGGAAAATCATACATTATTCTCACAGTCAAGTTCTACTCACTGCGCCAGTTTGATCCTATATATGCACTGCTCGATGCTATTTATGAAGGCGAGAGCTTTAAAATCGCCCACACTTCAGGGGAAACGTTCGTTTATGTCCGTGTGAAAAAGCTCTCAAAACTCTGCCGCATACCTAAGCCACTTGTCAGCTGTCACGAATTGCTGGTGACGGTCGTCTTTCTGATAGCTCTAGTATGCGTTGTTTGTTACATAATTTGTCCCGATATGGAGTATCTTCAGAATTCGCGACGTTTTCGTATTTCAATTACATGCGACGCGTGGGCGGAGGAATTGATATATGAATCATTATGAATGATATTTTTTTCTTGTGATTTCTAAATACCTGAATATACAACACTGCAAAGATATTCCATGGATTTTGTAAACATGCATCAAAAATGATAGTTCGGTGAGGATCTTCAAGTATTTGTTCACTTTCTTCAGTTTCTTGCGAATAGCGACATATGTCCTAAATGACAGCGTCGTTCATCTTCTTTGTTGTTGTCCGGGGTGATTGAATTCGAAGAATGTTTAACTATAAGGAGCAGATTATACTTACGGTAGATAGTGGAACAAATACTTGTTAGGTTTTCAAAACTTCTACTTTTAGTTAAGGTAGCAAGATCCCAAATAATACAGAATTTTTTTCGATTTTTATGAATTTGTAAAAAACTGTATTTCTATTCTTCAAACCCTACTAAATCTAAAATCACAAGCAAAATTTACTTTTTGTACGTCTATAGTAGGTTTTTTTTCACAAAAAAAAACTATGTTCAGGTTTTACCCTCCTTAGCAACGAGTTTTTCCCTTCGTTACAGGGGCCATATAGGTCTAAATTAGAAATAGTACCATCTAAAATGATTTTATAACATATGTAGCATGGTTTAAAACTAGCCAATCATAGACCTCCCACTATCTGCCTCAAATGCAGCCTTTCAAAATTGGTATGTAGCTAACTTCAGTTGTGCTCCAATTTTATCCTCCAATATCAATCGTAGTTTGTCAATCACTTCAATCAGACAAAATCAAGGAGTTTTGCTATCCATGGACTGAGCAATATTTGTTACTCTTCTCTATCCATGACATCTTATGTGTCGGCGCGACTCATGGTGGGCATTCATAAAACTATAAACGTAAGGATTATCACAGACTATTGTTGTTTTGCAAAAGGCATGTCATTCTATTCATGGATTGAAATATGAAAACCTAATCCTGTATCGCTATACCAAGGAAGATTTTGTTTGGAAACGATTGAAAATGCTGCATTTAGTGGTGTGGCTCAGTTAAATTATGTAATACTAGCATTATAAAACAGTTTGAGCATAGAGCCATTAGTCCCATTTAGTATACATCATATGGTGTTGTTGAAATCAATTTAAAGCAAATTTATTGGATTGACTGCTTAAAAAATTTGACTGAAAAGGATCTTGCTATCTTAAGCCTGGTTCTCATATAGTCGTTTCAGTCGTGCCAAAATTTCACAAACGACCTGTGTGACTATATGAGAACGTTTCAGAGGCGAACGGGATGACCTCAAATAACTCACACGACTGAAACGACTAGAGTCGCTTGGATAGAACTTTGCTTTAAAAGCAAATAACTAGCCAAAAGACAGCCATTTTAAATGTTCCGCGCAAAATTAATTCAAGCAGTCTCGGCAGCGCTAGTACGAATATACAAGAAGTACAATAGCTTGAGTCGTCCCAGTCCTTTTGAAAACAACGAAACAACGCGGGTTTAACATTCACGTATCCAGAGACGAATTCCATTGATCATCTGGAAGCCCGGGTATTGCAGCACAATTCTTGTTAAGCTTTTTATGTATTTGATTGACATGAGGCATTGTCAAAACTCTTGAAATCACATCTAAATAAACCGAAGCATAAATTATGTAATCTCTACCGGCCTTCAACATTGACATTCCTTGCATTTTGACGCCTAATAAATAAAGGTTTCCATGGCATCCAATATCGCTCTATCTATAAATTGATGATTTTATGTTTACGTAAAGGCCTTCGAAAACTTTTTCAATGTGTAGTCAGACATAGCAAAAACCATTTATTAAACAAACATTCTAATTCTAAAAGCGTGGAAAAAGAAAATTGATCAATTATAAAGTGGATATGTGCAATAGAAATAATACTAATAAATTGATTTTGCAATTATAAAGTTGTAGCTGAGCTAGATAACAGTGGCTAGTTACTTACAAATTTGCATTAAAATTGTGTGTGCACGTAGGAATACGGAGATTTTCCTCAATTTATTTGGTAGAGTGCCGAGTTTCTACAAAACACTCTTCTGTTAAAGAAAAAATTTGCACATCAAAGACGTGCAGAAATCTTCGTATTTCTTTTGAATCTAAGAAGACTCTTATCTCGAATACCGAATTAAAAATCGAGCTCTTTGCGTTTGTAACCTTACCCCCTGAGAATGTACTGGCGGCATCAAGTTTCCAAGTCTTATCTAAACACGAAGCTATTTCCTTGATGAAGGTTTTGTAAGTAAACAAGTTTTGAATTCTATTTATATTCCTAAAAAAGTAATTCTGGAGGCTTCTGTAGTCACGAGTTTGCTCTCATTTGTAGATAACTAAACACGTGACCACATATAATCAATGTATATACTTTAGGTTAATTACGGTTGACATCTGTTTTTCTTAGTCAGTTGGCATGCACGCTGGTATGCATAAACAACGTAGAAAATCGTGATTATATAACATCCGTTTCTGAAGAATTATACAATTGTTTTTTGCAAGAAGAGGACAAGACAATGGGTATGCGCAGAAAAACGTATTTTATAAGTGTTAACAATGAATATGTGTGACAACTTGCTCGTGTTTGATGACTTTGCCTTCATGATAATTGCGACACTTATTTCAAATTTCGAACTGAATGTTTTACAAACGCATTTACAAATGCAAGCGAAAACGTATAGGGATGTTCACGAATAAATTTCATATTTTTAGTGGGTACGAATAAGTTAAGAAAAAGCATTAAGGATCGAAAGGTGAATTCGACGACGCCAGAAGAAATGTTCGAAATGATTTTCAAATCACAGGTATGATCATCACAGGGCAAAAGTATGAAAATCAAGTGATAATGAAAGTATGAAAGTATGTCTCTCACAAGATTACCGCCACTTATTTTGTCTGATAGGTTAAAGTCGTCCTTGGATTATATAATTTTTGCTTGAAAATTGCTCAGATATTATGTTTGGATAAAATGTTGGACAATGCATAGGTTCTCAATTAACGCTAAAATGAAAAAATTTATCTACAACGCAAAAAAGTACAAATTAAAGCAAACAGGAAATTTCTCCGAATGATCTTGCGCGAATGTTTTCGAATAACAAATGGTTTCGTTTTCACTAGAGGTGACAATTTTCTGTGAAAATTAGCCGTTTAGACTGTTTCTACTTAATAATTAACACGAGAATGATCAATTATAAATTACATCCACATCAGGAACGTGTTTCTTCGTACTTCGGACATGAAAATGAGCAGATGAAGGTGAATTGTTTTTATACTAGATTCAAAGAGCTCAGTTGAAACGCATATTGCCAACATTTTGAACTGCTTGATTAGCAGTCTTTATTGCTGTGGTTTCAATTAATTAAACATCTTTGTCTTATTGTTGAAATTTTCATGTAATCAGTGGCTTGGGAAGCCATGGGTGTCTGGATGTTCCGACACCCACAATTTCAATTGTTTGTATCCCTTATAGGAAAAGCATGCACCCACAAATGTACCTTCTTACTTGAAGGCTTGTGATAAATTGATTGCTAGATTTTTACATGTTTACCTAAATTTTTAATTAATAAACAGTCTCTTTGAATTGACATGTTTCACATAATACAGGCAAAGGAAAAGCTTATTAAAAACTACTATAGATAAGCAGTTACGATTCTGCTGTTCAACTTTCGTGAGTTCTATCATGATAAACATGGAACACTCACATTAAAAGCATTCAAAACCACTGCTTAGAATCAAACTTGATCCAAGTAATGCGCCCGATTTTGTTGAGAAAACTGAAACTTGCAAAATATGTTACTCTGTTGCACATGACGTTCTAATATAGCTTTGTTTGGTATGAATAAATGCTTCGTGCTTCCTGTTGCTTCCTCAAATCAAGAAATTTTAAATGACGTCATATTTTACTGGGATATCCCTTTCAGGAGAATCGTATCAACGATCAACGATGCGATCCCGATCTTGTGCATCAAGCTCTGACCATTCAAGATGAAGATTTCTTCGGATTAATCTTACGTCTACAATCCAATCGTATTGACGAACAGCGGTGTATTCTCCCAGAAGGGAGACATAATCAAAGTGCCACAAAAGCTAAGCAGATGAAGCCAAGTTCCGAGGCTAGTTTATTGACCTGATTGAAATTTGTGGTTTTGTCATGATATTTTAGATGCATCGGTGCATTTAAGCCATGTGAATATTTTAAGCAAAATATATTGAATTGTTTTAATCTGATATTTAATTGTCGTAAGGACATGACAGTTCAAGTTCTTGACACAATCTTTTGATTGTTTCTCTTTATTGGAAAGCATATTGTTTTTAAAGCAGTGTTTCATAAAAATATTAGCTAGCACATCTGTGCGTTTTAAAGCTTTGTTTTTTTATAAAACTGTTTTTATTTTTGTTAGGAGTTTTCGTGTACGATTTTAATTCATTTTGATAGATAAATACATGTGAATATATCGATATCTGCGTAAAAATATTTTGTGCGCACATTTTTATGCCGTGTTTTCCTTAGCTAGCTCTTTTCATCAAATCTCCAGCTAAGCCAAAAATTGCTTGCGAACAAGGTCGAAGTCTATGTTGTCTAACAAGACATAGACATTGGTAACATACAAGTCAAAAAACATAGACATCAAACAACACAGTTCTTTACGTTCTTGCCCTTCACCCTTCTCAAATCATTTTGTTTTATGACTATAGCTATTCAAATCTATCGCAAAATAGATCTGCTTTTTTCCAAACTGCCTGCTATGGTACCCAGGGCCAAAATTGGACATTATTTTGTATTGGAGGGTTGGTTCGTGTTTTCCGTGTATGAGCATTTTTCACTGAACAGAATAAACCAACCAATATTCTGCCTAGGAATAGAATTGATTTGTTGTTTGTATTTCAATTTAATAAAATGAATATAATTTAATATTTATTCCAATGGCTCTGTAAAAATTTAACTGTTGTATGACGCATTCTATGACCGTATGAGTATGTCCTGACTTGTCGTGCACGCCTGGTCGTTGCCGCTTTTGGCGGTAAAACGACAGCTAATTCGGCTTTGGGACAAGAACTCTTCACTCTTCGACGACAACAACAACCGCATTTCGTCAATGTGGGTATGAATTTCAAAGCGATTTGTGGCTGAGAAATAGGCATATGCAGCTCAATTTAAAGCTTCTGCAGTAAGTAGTGTTGTTAATTATACTGTTGTTCATATATGTGTCGAAACTGGATCGTGACTAAAACACCACACGAGTACATACGAGTACATACGAGTACATACGAGTAACATACGAGTACATACGAGTGACATACGAGTACATACGAGTAACATACAAGTACATACGAGTAACATACGAGTACATACGAGTGACATACGACTATTTTCTGGTCAACAAATGAGAAACAACACAATTTCTTCAATACATTGATATTTACGTTTATTTTCCTTGTATTTGTGTGGACTTTGGGGCAACCATTTGATGGATTTAAATGCTGAAAAGGTATTTTACTTTCATACTACATTCATTTGTATGTTTTAGTTGAATTTGTTATAGATATTTTGTCGATGCGATTTGCCAGTATTTGAGCGCTTTTGACACACTTTCACCTAGGAAATACATATTTATGAAAGCGATTATACATTCATTTTGGTCTTTAAGATACTGATTTTTCAGTTAAAAGACTGAATTATATCAGCTAGAACTTTAAAAACATTAAAAGTAAGCTGAAATTGTACGCATAATATGATATATATACGTAACACAGTGCAACTCTCATTTAATTTCAAAAGTAGTATAGTACATGGGGGTTCTAGCGCACGAAAAGTGCGCTATAATCCCATGTATATATACTACATAACCTGGTAAAACTATTTTTATAACAGCTTAAAATAAGACCATGGTTCAAAGACGTCCCTCTGGTAAAAGGTCATGTAAAGCTGTGTAAAAAATTGTTTGTTTCAATATAGTAGTAAAAACTTTCTTTATAACAGCATAAAATAAGACCATGGTTCAAAAGGCGTCCCTCAGTAAAAGGTCATGTAAGAAAGCTGTATGAAAAAGTCATTGTTTCAAAGGGTAAAATTTGGAATCTATATGTTTTTAAAAACGGTCTTTACAAACAAATGTTAACAAGCATCGTTTCGGAGAGGGCTCGGCAGCGCAGAGCACTTCGTGCTCGAGCAGGGGAATGGAGCCCTCGAGAATTCTAAGCGACGGTGGGGAAAATTTTCACGAAGTGAAAATTCGGAGCGCCCCCTTACATTCGAAGAATATTCGAAGAATATTCGAGAATAACAGAGGCTTAAGAAATGCTCTTCAAAAAACCGTCTTTAATAATCAAATGTTAAGAAAGCATTGGTTTTGAGGGGGCTCGGCAGCGCAGATCACGAAGTGATCGAGCAGGGGATGGAGCCCCCGATAATTCTTAGGCGACGTTGGGAAAATTTTCACGAAGTGAAAAATTCTCCATGGATTCGAAGAATATTCGAAGAATATTCGAGAATAACAGAGGTTTAAGAAATGCTTCAAAAACCGTCTTTAATAATCAAATGTTAAGAAAGCATTGGTTTTGAGGGGCTCGGCAGCGCAGATCACGAAGTGATCGAGCAGGATGGAGCCCCGATAAGGCGACGTTGGGAAATTTTTCACGAAGTGAAAAATTGGAGTCGCCTCCCATGGATTCGATGAATATTCGAAGAATATTCGAGAATAACAGAGGCTTAAGAAATGCTCTTCAAAAAACCGTCTTTAATAATCAAGTGTTAATAATCAAGTGTTATTAAAATATCAGTAGCAGCGCGCGTGTCTTAGTGCATGTTTTCAACAATGGTTGTTTAATGTAATAGCACATTTCATCAGCGCATGTATAATAATCAAGTGTTAATAATCAAGTGTTAATAATTTAATTTTTATAAACTACCTCCAGAAACAGTTATTATAAAAGGTATATATGCGGTAGACTGTTTTTATTAATTACTTATTACAAACAGTTATGTGATATGTAGTCAAACATGAGGATTATTCTTCATCTTAAGTTTTAGCTTGATAGTTATTTTTAATAAATTTTTTTAATTTTTCGATTTCATCATTTACAAATTTTTTAGTTGATAGAATATTATCTTCTATAGTAGCCCTAAAATTTTGTGAAAAACCATTAAATGACATAGATAATGTAGATTGATGTTGTGAATAAACTTGAATTTTGGTTAATCCATTAAATGCTGCCAGCCATTTTCTTTTCCATTCATCATAACCTAGTGAAACTGAAGATTTTGTTGGTTCAATAATAAATAAAATATTATTATCTTTATCATCAACACAGTATACGTGATATAAATCTAGTAATGCATTAACTATCTTTTTTTCATTATCATTTGTTACTTTAATGATAAATTTTTTTTTAATCTTATCTGCCATCATATCTAATTTAATTGTTTTAGAGTTATCAGATGGATTTATTAATAAAAGTGTAAATTCAATAAATTTAACATTTTTAAAATAAATTCTGATAATATCTTGTCGGGTATTAAAATTTTTATAATTTAATTGATTGCTATGGTGTACTACTTTACCATTTACTCTGCTATCAATCTCATTCTTTGTATAATAGTTAGTTAAATTAGAAGTCAAAGCATACTTACCATCAGCTTGTGTTTTAGTATAATAGTTATTTAAATTAGAAGTCAAAGCATACTTACCATCAGCTTGTGTTTTAGTATAATAGTTATTTAAATTAGAAGTCAAAGCATACTTACCATCAGCTTGTGTTTTAGTATAGTAGTCATTAAATTTACCATCAGCTTGTGTTTTAGTATAATAGTTATTTAAATTAGCAGTCAAAGAATACCTACCATCTGTTTCACTCTTTGTATAGAATTTGGATAAATCATAAGTCAAAGCATACTTGGAATTTGATTCATTTTTTGTATAATAGTCATTAAATTTATTATTAACTTGTGTTTTAGTAAAGTGGTCATTGAATTTATTATCAACTTGAGTTTTATTATAGTAGTGGTCATTAAATTTATTATCAACTTGAGTTTTATTATAGTGGTCATTAAATTTATTATTAACTTGAGTTTTAGTGTAGTAGTTATCTGATAGATGTGTTTTATCTACAGGTCCTTGTATATTTAAATTAATATCTGTTTTATCATGCCCATAAAATAAGCTCATTTATATTATTCCTCAGATTTTATATCCGGTTTATTATTTTTATGTTCGTAAACATGTTTAATGGTTGTTATACAACCAGATAAAAACCTAGAAAAGGTAATAGGGTGATATTTTTCTACTAAACTATAAACATCTCGTTTTAAAAGGTCGTCTGATTTAAGCTGTTTTGTTAATTCTTTTGAGATTCAATAACATCAAACCCTTTTAATATATCTGAAAATTTTGATATAACTAAATCAGTTAAAACTCATTAGTTTTTGTAATCGTTTTTCTCGTATTCATTGTATAATTTATCAATAATTTTTTGACTAGCTTTTTTAATGTAAGCAACTGACTTGTCTAAATCACCATCTTCAGCTAGTTTAAGTAGTTGATCTCTTTTATTAAAACCCTCTTGCGGTTTATCTTGTATATTATCATCACATACAGCATCTTTGATAGTATCATTTGCGGAATCAATCTCATTAATTATATCATCAATTGTTTCAGGCTCTTTACGCTTTGGCATATATATTAACACATGTTTTATTGCGGAATAACAATTTTCCATTGGTATGGATATATTAGTTGAATAAATAGATGAGTAAATTTATTATTTTTCAATTTTTTGGTTATTTCTTCTATATCATCTTTCTCAACACCATAAAGATAATCATCAAATATTGTTTTCATATTATTGCGGTTTGTATTATAAAATGCAACTAAATAACTTATATTTTCACGATAAGGTTTGGCAATACTTGTCAATTGCTGTGTAACCACAATAGTAGAAAGTCCATAATGACGAGCACTGAATGCTAAACGAACTAATTCAGAAGTCCTATTTTTAACATCATGCGAACAAGCTACATCGTCTAATATAATAAGACTATTTGTACCTTTATATACATCACTAACATATTTTAAAACAATATCTACCTGATCTTGGTCACATTCTACCTTAATTAAATCAGAATCATTTATATATTTCCATTCTTGATAGGTTTTATTATATGATAGCGTTGGGCATACTAAAATAATATAATCAAAATGGTTACTAAAGTTTTTTTCTAGCATTCTTAAAAGAATGAAGGTTTTACCACAATTCGTCATACCTACAATAATCATATTAAAGGGTGTGTTCATTTATATATTACTTGTTATTCTAGTATTGGATACTTTGGAGATCATTGTTTACAAATTGAACAAGAGCATCACTAATAACATAAATGTAACAGTTTAAATCTTTTGTATATACTCTCTTTTTAATTTCAAGCAAAACGCCATTTTGAGTATTAATAATTTTTTTACCGT